TATGTGTGCCTCTTTTCGCATTCCTTAACCTCGCTCAAACAAGTACTCAGTGATTTCAATAGTTTGTTGTGGCGCGGTGTGGCGAGAAATAAGACTGAAATAATGAAGACGCAGCCGCATATTAAGTCGTGGAAAGACGTGTGTGTGTACAGAATAACAAGTGCGCTTATATAGCTTCACTAACCGCCGGTCCTTGAACGAACAGAAGTATGTGAAGTGCATTCACGTAAATCGACTGAATAGCGTTCGCTCACAATTGCCAACTGCGCTCACGTGCTGCTCGCCACAGCTCTCCTCCTTGGTAAAAAGAATTGGTAAATATTTTCTTCCAACAGTACTTCCGAAAGGTAGGTCGTACGTAATGTGCAGTCGACTCGCGGTGTCCTAGAAGAGTTTGGAACCTGAAAGCTAGCACCTGAGAGTCGAGAACCGAAGCGAGTTAAGCGAAATTGAAACCAAAATGCGGTAAACTAGGCTAGATTCGAAAGAAAATCGAGGTGGTTCTTGTTTGAGACAGACGAGGGTCAGGATATGAGAACAAGGGGGGTCAGGCAGTTTAATAATCAGGCCAATAAAAGCGTCTACCATACCATGTAGTGGTAATCGTTTTTTGTTGTCAGAAGTCGGTCGAGATGAATCGCTGTTGGCGATACAACCGTTTCCACCAGCTGGACATTTGGAAGGTTGGTCGTTGGAAAGGTTGAACATGATGCCGAATCGTAAGATCGTTGACGTCGTTAGATCTGGTTGAGAGCCGAGAATGAATCGGAGAGACTTGCCAAGCAGACGTCGAATGTCGATGTCGTTCAGTCGAGAGATGCGGCCAGAATAAGAAAAGCGAGAGTCGAATGATGAGGTTAGCATGATTGGTTGTCGCCGGGATGTTCTAGGAATCGATGTTCATCGTCAGTAAGTTGGGGAGCGTCCGGAGATTTGGCGTCGTTCGGCGGTGGTTGGGACCAAAGACGAAACGTGATTGAATTGGGCGAAAGTTGGAGGTCGGAACCAGGCTGATGAGGGCGAACGTATAGGGTGAAAGCTAGGTTGAGCGATGGGACAGAAACAGGACCAAGAGTCGGGCGATGTCGAAGTACAGCGGTCACACATTAAGATTCGAAGGACGGCAGAATTGCTTGAGGAGTGACTTTTCCGTGAGACGTGAGACACCGAATAACCACGAGCTTTAAGTCGTACTAGAAAAGCGCCAATTTTCAGGTTTTAGAAGGTGGATACGCGTTCGGAGACGAGATCGCATGCGTGCAAACGAGTCGAATGGAATTGACGGACCTTTGCTTCCTCCTAAATGTCACTCGACGGTGGGGTGTAGTTAATTGTACGTTCGAAAAAAGAGTGGAAAATATGCAGGTGGAGCGTAGCTCAACTTATTTATCGATGTAGTATTGACGTGTGTGGGTGTGTGTACAAGGTAACAAGTCAGTCGTTTCTTGAACGAACAGAGTTACGTGAAGGTTATTCACGTAAATTGCTCACGCTTGCAAACTCAATTCTCTCACGATTGCTAACTGTGTTCGCTTGGAGATCGCCACAAGTTATAGAAGAATATTGTCGGCTGATGATACAATAATGAGCCGACTTTTTATTCTTACTATCTGACCATGACTCGTAGATATGATTGTGTGGATTTATTCTAGTTAAATCACACTATTTAATGATCCGTTTTTATATTCGCAAAATAATGTCTACTTAAATCAAATAAGTACTCGCGCTAAGAACTATTTTTCAAGAGTTACCGCTACAGTAGACCTTCTTCCTGTGTACGAAGAGAATCATAAGCAGTGACCAGTCAACAAATTTATGACCCAAGTGAATAGCTTTGTTAATTCTCAGGTCTGGCTGTATTTAGTCAGGTCTTCATTGTCACATAGACCGCAATCAGAGTTAGTGCCCGGAATGCTGACCGCGTTACTCAGTGCACTTGGGAGTTCCATGAAGAACAGGGTGCCAGAAAATTCTTCGCTGATTACGTACGGGAATCCGCTGTCTTTGCATGAATGCGCAAAATAGTTCTCTTTCTTCAGCTTAGACATAGTGTCTCAGTACATCCACTTAACTTTTCCTGAGAGAGCATCGTCGTCCACAAATGATAACCAAAAGACTTAATGGTGACTGTCATAATCGTTTTCATTTAATAAATGGGGCAAATGTGGGCAGTGTAGTCTCAACTTGGCCTTGAGCAGCAGCTTTATAATCGATCTTTGAGGTTTGCATCTTCAAACCACGGAAGGTTTTCAATGCCACAGACTTCAGCCTCTAACTTGTTGCTTCAAGGTGGTGAATTAGGCCGACTACCGTCTCCCCTTCTAGTGTTCAATTAAAAATTTTTCCTGGAGTCGCCGATCTGCCCTTAAACTCATGCTTCACTGCTATCGCTGGTGCACGACTTCCTAGGCAAAGTAGAAACACTTAACTGCATATTTAGAATGGATAAGTTAGGCGAGCTGTCACCGATAAGATGTGTTTGTGTTGGCGATTTTATGTCTGTATAATAGGCAACTTATGACTCACTGTTTGCAACCTGTCAAAAGAGTCCTGACTACATGAGTTTCCGGTGGGGTTAGCACATTTAGAAGAATAGTAATTAAAAAAATTGTGATCATGTTTTCTGATAAGCACTTTACTAGTCCTCGAACAGGATTAATTTAGTTTCCGTCACTCCTTTTGGGTAAATGCCATTGCACATTTTCATGCTTTGTAATTATTTCGTCCTTATTAAAAATTGGCCAGCCTGGTTAGTCCCCGAATATGACCTGCCACTGGGAAGTTCTGACACGGTAGTGCGTCTAAAATACATTCTGTTAGTTTCAAGTACTTGCCTTACCTTTTGCTCAAATGCAAACCACCACAGTCATCTCAAGTTTAACTATTTAGCGTTTGGTAACAATGCTTCTTTCTTTCTCCTACAGACAAGCATTTTCCAGGACTACCGTTTCCATAATTATTTAGGAACAGTACGCATTAGGTCCTGGAGTCAAGGATAAAAAGGCAGCGTAGCCTCCTCAAAAGTTGATTGGCCGTCGTGTGGAAATTGCCCGAGGTCTATGAGACCAGCTGAGTGATTCGCTTAGACTCAATTTTGAGGCCTCCCCCTTACGTACAGCAGGTGTTGATCACACAAACTGCTTGTTCATGTTTGTTCGCAGTAGTGTTTTCAGGGTTTTATTGTGGCTGCATGTCCACAACTTCATTGAGTGTACAAGGACGTGCCATCTCGAGAAAATCACATTAATTTGGGGGGGCTATTTTGGGTGCAATGGCGACGGTAAACTGGTTCCACAGCCTTTTTTATGGTAAAAACTAGACTGTCATAAAAAGTACTGCGTGGCCTTGCGAAGCATCAACATTTGCTACACCCCATTGTTCTCAAGACAACCTGTGCGTCACTTGATATTTCGGGCACTCACACTCTCTCCGCACCGGTCAAAACAGATGGGAGGTAAACACGGCCTGTGGCGTGGCCCTACTTCAGGCTCATGTGGAAACTGTAATTTAGAATCGGTTCTGATAGCTCGAACCTTTGACAATTATAGAATTTAATAGGCAATGGTTAGATGAGGCGATGAAAATGGTGATGTTTGGGAAAAACGACACCAATAGGAATGGACTGTACGGTTAGATGTGAATTTAAGTGAGACGACTCCTCTGCTTACACTCGAGGGAGGCCTGATAAGCTAGATGGTGTTACAGTGAAACTTCAACAATTAACTTTAAAGCCGTGTGGAAAAGAAAAATTGTGTACTTTGGGATAATTGTAGAATGCAGATGTTATAAAGGCGATGATCAAGAAAGGCAAAACTCGATAGGATATGAGGCGAGTGTTGTCCAATGAAAATTGTATGGTAACCAATGATTATTTATGCATTTCTTATGTTCCCAATTAATTCTGTCGTGAAAGTCAGTAAATACTTTTGGCAGCAAGTGCAGAATGAGGGGTATGGTGTAGTACGTGTTCAAAAGTCAAGGCTAACACCGGGGCAAATCGTGAATATTAACATGACTCCAAAATTCAAACTACTTCGGTGCACATTATCCTAAACAGTGTAGATCTAGCCATGAGCCCTGGGGCCAGGCCATCCTGTTCCTATGGCTCATTTTTGATGATCTGCTTATAACTGAAGGCCGTGAAGATAATCCGATTGGCCAGGTTCACTGAAGATGACTTAAAAGCTCACTGCTAAAGTAGTTTGTGTTCAGTAGTGCCAGGTGAACAATAAACAAGTACGTAGAGCATGAGAGGACTCTAGTGTTGACATTACCTTGCAAACAATGATCAGGGGTCCAAAGCGCACCACCTAAAACTAAGACTGCTCACTAAAACAGGGTCCCTCGTCGCTTCCTGCACGTTGCACTTGTGACTCCGAGAAAGTTTGCAAAAACTACAATTGGAGGCTCTTTTGTGACAAAATGCAATTGCCTTTCCATTAGACTTCGCATCAATGATACAAAGACTGACGAAACTAATCGTACCGAATCTGGTTAACGGCTAGTTAGTAGGCTTAACTGGTGAGAGCTTATCAAGTGGCCCTTACTGTCCAAACGGGGCTCGAATGCATGCGCCAGGCAGATTGCCATTTCCGAAGTCATTGGTCTAGCCGAAAAACGTAGTCCAGTCATGCATCGTTCCATGAACCAAGTACGAAAGTTGTAGTATTTCTCTGCAGACGCGATCCCAGCAACATCCTCAACTCATTGCAGTCACTTTCTGTGCCTCTACTAGTTAAAACATTCTCGTGCGATTTGTAGTTAACTAACAATAAGAAGCCAAGGATATGACAAAATTAGTAGTAGCAGTAGTAGCTAGGAGGTACAAATAAATCTATGAACAAAATTCTTCCCATTTAATTCCAATTTTATGTGTTAAAAAGCACCAATGAAATGCAGTCTACACGGTCAGTTGTCGCATTCTAGTCAAAATATGTACCCTAGGCCCTTTCGATTGTGGTCTCGCCTATTTTACATGAGCTTCTTTTCGGACTCCCGTCATGCGGCCTCTTCACGCTTGGTCTACCCCGACGTCTGTCCCCTCCCGTCCCATCCCATCCCCCCGCAGCAGCAGCCCCGGGCACCAGATTGTGGCCATCGCTCGAGAGCGTGTGAAGACGCCACATCACATCAGCATCATCAACCGGGGTATAAACAAACGGGACGGGCGCACTCACGCGGACATGCGCTCCCGCGAGGGCGTCTATCATCAACGCAGAGCCTGTTTACAAAACCACAGAGCCACCAGGTAGGGGTGAGAGGTAGTTGACTTTGGTGTCCACCAATTGTGCCCCTCCTCCTGACTCCATAAATCAAATAAACGAGCCACCATGATCATTTACCCGGTGGGGAGGGGGATTCCTTTGGCCTAATTAAATGGCGATGCTATATTATATCTAGGGGGATAAATGATTAGCTGTTCGCTTTGCTCTGTGTCGGAGCCAGATTAATCGGGCCAGGTACATGGTACGCAACTCGGGATGCAGGCACAGACAGTAGGCAGTTTTCCATTTCATTGTGTGGGAATCTCGCATACTATTGGTAAAATTTATTCCCGAAAGCGAAAGTTCTCCGCACTGATCCACGATGGCGAAATTGTTACCTCCCACCCTGTCAGCAGAACTGGCTGTGCCAACCCTGTGACTGCTTATTCACTGTCGTTGGGTAGGCAACTCCAAACCACAATCAACCCATTTGTTATTTCGACTCCAACGAGTCGCGTTGTTTGCGGGAATCGAGATCCAGAAGTTACCCTTGTCGCATGGCGAAAGTGACTCTAGTTGTCATAAAGAACAAATAAAACACCGAACCCTGCTCCGAAATTACACCAACGGTTAGACTGACCCTTACTAGCGGACCCAGGCCTTACCGGTTAATCTTTAGTTTTATAAAGAATGATTCACTTGAGTAATGTTTCTAACTTGGTTTTCGTTTCGGGGCAAAAGAATGGGTGAAAATTTCATGCATGTATTTCTCACATAGAAAACAAATCGGAACATTATTTCAATCATGAATTTATCAGTCCGAAGCCACGATTTATACCATCTAGCCAAATAGGAATGTCTAGGTAATAGCAATCTAACCGAGCAACTAAGGAAGTGTTTACACTGCGAATTTGGATGATCGGAAATCAATTCACCCAAGCTATGAGTTCTTTCATTTCCTCACTGATTAGAGTTCCCAAAATTAAAATTGTAATTGAGCCCAACGTCTCACAATTGCCAAAACGTGTTTTTTTAAAAATAATTCACTTTGGCTTCCACCAGAAAGGTGCACTTAAAATGATGAGATTACAGACTGCGGCAAAGGACAAATGCAAATTAAGTTTTCAACAGTTAATTGAGAAAAAATCTGAGCACTATTAACGACATCACACTTTGCCCTCTGCTTTAAAAGTCAGGTGTTAAATACAGATGAGGCGAAGAAAATCCCATGGCTTTTTTGAGTGTGTAGTTTTCTAGAGCAATCCAGGCGGTGAAACTCGCCACTGAAGTAGGCAACATGCACGTGAACATAACTTTTGCTTGGTAAAAATGTTTTCTTTTGAGTTGGGACAGACCGATTCGAAGTATGGATTTTGGCAGTTACTTCACATAAAACCGAGATGCTGCTCTGGCGAGTAAGGTCGTTGCAGCCTCTGGATAACATCCATGCAAATGCCACAAATTAGCAACCAGTTGCACTTCACCGCAGCCAAGGTTCACATATGAGTGTCTGCTTTGATCAACAATGTTGCTACAACGAAAAATCCCCGAAAACTGGTTAAGGCATCTGACACTGAAGCTCAAAATGACGAAATGATCTGACCGTTGTTCCCACCTGCTTTCCTCGAATACTGTTCTCTGACAGTTTGGTCCAGCTCAATTCAAGCATTGAAGCAGCAAAGGCAATTGTTAATAAAAGTTGTTAGTCAGTATTCTTGCACAGTATACTTCTATTTGAAAGCGACTGCCGAACTCGTTCATAACCATAGGACAAGGTAGTGTATAAATAGTGTTTGATAGAAGATAGGAAGAGCTGAAACGCAGCCAATACTTGAATATCGAGGAGATACTGTACACAGTTCTTGGTTGGGTGCCCTTACTGTCTTTATTTGGAAAACTAACCCCTGCGTGTTAATGCCGGCTAACTTAAAACAGGTTACAGTGCATCCCACGTCATCTGTAACATCAGCACTGCTTGCAGGTAAATGTGACTGCATCAGTGAAATTTTTCCATTCTCTTGGACCGCACTCGCACCTTCTTCTATTCAAACTATAAATAAGCCTTACTGTTCATTTATTTTAACAATAATCACATTCCACTGTCATATCTCATGTTAGTAGACTGACTTGATTTTCAAAACTTTCAACTTTCCCTGGTCTAAGAATATAGTTCACGAAGGCCTAAGTTTAGTCCATGTTTTTTGCTGCAGCTGGTTTCTTCACTCAATAAAGGATACCAGGACGATCTCTATTAACATCCTAAGCACGTCAATTGAGAACACTAAACATTGGCGTTTAAGTATCGTACCCAGAGCCGAGGCACGTAGGAGGGGGTTTCGTATGCGATTTTATTAAGAGGCTTAACTTGACTATCAGCATAAAGCCTTGTTAACACAGGAGGTCTCGACGGCTCCCCCTCCTCCGCCAAACACCATGGGACCTGGTTACACACAGATTAGAGAGGTCCGTTATTGCAACCGCCATGTCGTCACTCCCCCTGTCGTCAACCTCAGCATGGCAACTGCGGGGGCTCGGATAAATATTTTGACTCAGACCTTCTCATGGACGCGGTAACACGCCGTCAGGTGAGATGTTCACGTCTTCCTTGTTCTCATGTTAAGAGCCTTGGTTACCACAGCACCCTAATTCTCATTATCTGAAATCATGTTTGTGTCCTATGGATTAACCCAACTACGTTGGCCCATTGTGATTACCCAGTTGCGAACTTATTCGAATTTGGTAAATAACATCGATGTTTCCGTTTGCGAAATACTGGGGAATTCGCTCAAACGATTTCGTGTAGACAAGCACAATTTTGGCAGTTGAAAATATGTGTGTGGCATTTAACCATGCTTGAGGGTTTGTGAAACGGTTCTGTAACAAATACCAAAGTGGTCCACGGTAAAACCTGAAGCGTCCACATAAACCAGAGCGGATGACTGTATTAAGCCCGAGGCAAATAGTCGGTCGACTTACCCGTACTAGCATTTACGCAATTAGCTGTGCCCTGAATCGAGATTTTCAACCCAAGTTGGAATTGGTGCCTCGACTTCAATCGCGTTACAACTTTATGACTCTAGCCGTAAAGCAGCTATGATAACACGCATCAGGTGGTCTCATGATACTTCAGTTTAAGCCGTATCCTCTTTGGAATTCATGGTCTCTTACCTTACTAGGGATAAATCTAACACAATACGCAGTTCCGAAACTAGGAATCAGATGCCATGCATAAATGTAAGGAGCATCAAATATCATGTTCTGCAAATAGTCATTATATAAATATATACAAAGTGAGATTAGGTGAAGGGTAAAAGGACTGTCAGATTCACCTATCGTCATGTTTTCCTATGATGCAGTCGATCGAGAATGGACTTTTTGTGGATCGTCCAGTTGTCTGTGAGAGGTCCAAAATCTCGCACGAGGAGTCCTTCGATATTTTTGGCCGTGGTTCAACTGACGGTGTGCACGGCTCCGGTTCTGCTGCCCTCTTGTACCTTTTCCGTCGGCGAAGGAAGCTCCCATTTGTAAACATTCCCTCCGAGTCCGGATCGAGTGTCCAGTAATTCCCCTTCCCCGAACTCCCTGCCCCTCTGGGCACCTTAATAAAGCAGTCATTGAGTGAGAGGTTGTGTCTGATTGAATTCTGCCAAGCTGGAAATCGTTCACGGTAATATGGGAATTTGGCTGCAATGAATTCACATATCTCCGCTAGCGTTAGTTGTCGCTGTGGGGAGCTGAGAATGGCCATTGTAATCAGCGCGATGTAAGAGTAAGGTGGCTTGACGGTGTGCACGAATACTCTTTCTGGTGACGGATCTGTTGACTTGGAGGGTGAAGATCTCTGAGGGACCCATGAGGGCAATGATGACGTTGGAAGAGGAACGAGAGGAGGAGGAGGAGGGAGTGGAACATTACCCAGCGAACCACATAAAATTTCTTTGGTCATTGATGAAAGAAGTTGGATCTGAAGGCTCATGACATCTTCATGATTCCTTTGTCTGCCCCAAGAAGTGGGTGGAAAATCAGGAAAATTCATCATAATTAGTAAAGCAACTGATCAAACACTCACTTAACAAGACGCGTGAGGTGTGACAGCTTTCAACTGGTTGGCTAAAATGTTAACGACGCGATTGCTGCGAACCAATTAATGTAAAGCTTTTAAGGGAGGGGGCCGGCGACCAATCACATTAAAGTACATGCGAGGACGAGGGTGTCATTAGCCAAGTTGTATGTTTAGTTACCTCAGAAGCTTTCAAAGTCTGGTCGATTATATTTTTCAATTGACGTTAATAGCATCACAGTGGTTAGGAGGTCTAAAAATTAACATAAAAAAGATACTTCAGAGGATGATGTTAAATGCAAACTACCCATGGTCAAGGATAGTTTTAAATCAGCTAAGGGCACGATGGATACTGGCTTGAACAAATAGTGACTTTTTCTGTGAACTTTAGGTCTTAAGCCCTGGAATTGTGTTTTAGGCCCTATAAAATCCTTTTTGATGATTCTATTTTTAAAGGTGTGCTCAACGTCAGGATGACGACCCGCCAAAAGAGCCCTTACTGATTAGGGTTGCCTGTTGAGAGAAAGGAATGCACACAAAAGAGCCCTTGAATAATAAGAGAAAATAAATCATCCTTCAGTCAACTCAGCCGGAGTTTGTTCTGTCACACGTTATGAACCCTAGTAGCTAAGCTGTGGTTTAGGCCTCCAGTGTGAAATAGTTTGCGTAATCCGTGTCGCCTACTACCATTATGGGAGCATCAAGGCTCATAGTCACAATCTGGCATGGGTACACTCATTAGACTATGCAATCGGTGTTGAGTATCCTTATGACAGTTTTGACACTCCATTATCGCTATGCGATAGTAGGAAAGGCTCAGGATTGAGAAGTGCCATCATCATGTAGCGACGACAGTTAATTCTCTACTTATTGGAATATAGCAAAATTGAACGACGTGCAAACACAATCAGCTAAAGGTCGGTCCCAGGTTTTGATGTCTTGGCGAAGAAAATCGCAGTGCTTACTCAGCCCATGTGTCTGACTCCCGCTAATGTGAACTCTGACTCTGAGTAATCTACAAATTCGAGAAGAATGATTTGCTCTAGATGTAGCCACACTTTTTCCTTTTCACACTCACATTTCAACCGATCCATTCCACACCATTTTCAAGATACAATATATTTCAATTTCAGAAAAACCATGAAGGCAATCTGGGGGTGAGGTTTGGAATCTTATAATACAATTGAGGTGATTTATTATCAGGCGCCCCCGGGATTCGCTGCCACAATCGGTCCTACCTAGGCAGCATAAAATCAGGCAGGTAAAATAGCTATCCTTATATAAAACTTTCACAATATTCGGGCAATATTTGGCTACGTGAATGGTTGTGGTGATTACTCTCCGAAGCCAATAAAGGAGAGCATCCTCCGGGCCCGCTTATCGTCCTACCATCATCCAATAAATCACAGCAAAATTTGGCATTCTAAACTGATGAGCAACTGACGATCATTTACAAGAAGGCTGCATGGAACACCCGAAAGGAATGGCGACAGGGCGGGTCACATTCACGCCATCAAAATAGGTGCTTTCAAGAGGTGCTGCTTTGTGGATAATGAATTTCTAAATAATGTGGTTACATTAATTGCTTGAAGTTATCCAAAATGTCCTTCTCACCTCCAGATTTGAGGAGGCTATCGAATTGAAACTACTAACTCTCAACAGTCCCTGGTTTTAAACACTCAACCGCTTCAAAGAGAGGTCGGGGGTTTTACTGGAAGCTTGAATATTTGAATTCTCCTGACCTGACACCTACTAGCATTTTTGTTTTTCGTTTGTACAATTTCGTCACCCATTTTTATAATTTTTGCATGCATGCAACGGAGCAGTTGCTCGACTCCCCAAAGAACTTCAAAAATTACCCCTATTAGAGTGGTACCTGTCCTTTCTAATAGACTCTAACGCTGCTCGAGTAGTTATATTCGTGAACATAATGCTTCCTGTTTATTTAGACAAGAACTGATTCGCCGACATTGACAGAAGCCTAGACGAAGTCAAGTTATTTCGGCTTAAACTACACCATCCACCCACGTTTTTGTGTCAGTAGGAGTGAATATTTGAGAAATTGATTGCTAATGTCATTTGAAATGTAAGTTGACTCCTTTAAAACACCCCGCCCCTAGAGGGATCACGTACCTCGTTCTCCTGATGGTGATGATTACCGGTTTGGGTTAAGCTCATCAGATCCATGAATATCAAACTAGTTTCCACGCCTCCTCGAATGCCTTTACACCAGATCACACCTAAAAGGTGAACCGAGTTAAAGAGTATGAGTTATAGAGGGTTGAGCAGGAACTCTTACGGAACATGAACGTTGTTGGCAAATAAATAACTTTTGAGATTGACTTACACTCGGGGTGAGTATTCCTTTCCCCTATCTCCTTGCGTAAAGGACCACAAGACTTCACCACAGCGCTAGAGGGCTCTCTCTGCTTGAGTGCTCGAGCCAATCTAGTTTGTACGAAGTAAGGAAGTCTACTGATACGTTATGCGTTGGTGCATGAAATGTTTAAGAGGCTGTCCAGCTGATCAGTGCTCGAAGGAGTAATACTAACACCAGTTTACATGGCAAACTCGACTGACCACGCCCAGATTAATTTGTCTGCATGCCCCACACCAACTGCTTCATCGCGCTACCCTAAGAACCGCTCCAATTAGACTTCGATAAACCTCCCACACACAGAATAACCGATGTTTCCCCCAAAACATTGCTATCGAGGGCTCTTCATAAGCGTGGCTGCCAGAGATGACGCATAGAAGTCAAGACGCCAACGACTTTACTGATAAGGTTTACAGTTGCAGTCCATGATGAATTGCATGCCAATGTGTGAGCGGTCAAAAAAGCCCTTCCGAGCCCGCACCACGGGCGCGAAGCATCCCCTCCTATTTAGTTGCAGAGGGATAGCAAACTTGTGTCACCGCATCCCTCTGTCAGGTCACCTTTGCATGTGGGAATGTTGTGGGCCCTGCCGTTCGCGCTGGCGCAAAGCACCTGCTTCAGGGACGACGACGACGACGACGACAACGCGGCGGAGGCGGAGGCGTGCGAAGCGTAAATATTTGGCTGGGTGGTGATGTGACGAGGGGGCGGTGACGGGAGGGGGACGGGGTCGGGCCAGATTATGTTGGAAAAGCCACACATGGTAAAACCTGGGTACCTGCTTTTATGTATTGATAAGCGAGGGTAGGCGATCGAAACCGTTGTTTATGTGTTTTCATGTTGTATTTGGAAGGCGGAAATGAGGTCTGACGTGTCGCTGGATAACTGATTTTTACTGGTTTCTTTGGGAAGACGGTTAACGCTCCCACCTCCAATTTCGAGGTCAATCAGTGAAGGCGTATTTTGTTCTAATTTTATTTATATTAGTTTGAGCATTCACGGGCGTGGTGTTGTGACGAGGTATAACTCTTTTGAGCTGAGTCACGTGGACGGCAACTGTTTCTCTAACAATAAATTAGAAATTGGTAAACTAAATTGCTTGTTTACATTAATTTCAAAGCCTTAACTGCGAGGTGTTCCCCTAAAATAATAAACTTTTTGAAATAAATTGCTTCTTCTTTTTCTCTGAAAACATCGTCAGGCTTAAGTAACACTACGGTTTACGAAACCAGGAGCGTGAAAGTGATTTTTAAGCAATTTTGTAGTAGCAACTGATTAAAAACGCCTTGGGAATTATCTTTACACAACATAAGTGCAGAGAAACAACTACATGATTTCTTACCAGTTTTGCTTCACACACAAAATAAATGCGTAAATTTATTGCCTTTAAAAAAATGAACGAACTGACTCTTCAGGTAAGCATGTCAAGAACCATTCTGGGACGACCAACAGACCGAATAGCCTCGCACAGGCAATAATTTTGAAAAGGCTTCTTCAGTAGATGCAAGTTGACTACCCGTTCATTGAGGTCGTCATATTCAAATTGCTGGTGTCACACTTCACGCGGATTCACCTACATCGCAGCCACTGAAGTAGTGCTGTAGCGCGTTGTCTATGATTTTTTCCCAATTAATCTCCTCTAAGTGTTTTCACTAAAGGAGTCATGATAACTCGTCTACCAGACCACGTGGTTTTCGTCACCTGTCCGATTCCACCCCTAAACCCATCCCACCTCGACCACATATCAAATTAGCATACCCCGCCTGTTTGCGCATGAAACCCAATTCTCGGCTGTGAATATGAATGGGTATTTCAGCTAGGTTCCGTTGATACCAATTTCGCAGAGTGGTGAGATATAGTTTTTAAGTGTGGACCAATTAGCCCAAAACAAATCCTGCCACGAACACCTTATTAAAGCAAACAATTCTAAACTGCTGTCATCATTTGGGCAAATAACTTAAATCGGATGCCATTGTAAAATGAGACAAGGAAAGGTGAAGCGAAAGGTTCAGTCAAACAGAACTTTCAACGGTAGCTGAAATTGGCCAGGGACAGTAGCCTTAACGGTGAAGGGAAATTCATGAAAAGTGCTAAATTCCTGGCCTTGATAACTTGAATGGGTTCCCTGTGCTTTCAACAACTCGATGCGAAATCAACGAGAAGGGGCTCATTCTTCCAGATTCGTAGAACAGCATTAGCGCCTCCAATCTGGCACAGTCCGAAAGTAAAGCGTGATCAGCTTTCACTTGTCTGAAGGTCGCTTACTTCATAGTGTTGTCACCCATAACTCCGAATATATGTCACCTTACATTGCGATAAAGACAGGAAATTGTAGTCTGGAGTAATAAGACATGTAATAAAAGTAACAATTATTAATTAGTTGAGATTCAGAGAACTCTTACTGGCTCTGCTAACTTATTCGAAGTATAACAATCAACGGCCCGAGGTTTCGTTTTTGTGGAGAGAAATTTGCGTGTGCCTTTAGGTTTATTTCCTTTGCGATGAACGCTTTGCTCCTAGGCTAAGGACGTCTTCACTTTCGTGCTTTTTTTGGATTCTTTTGATGCTTGATAGGGTTGTAAACGATATCTGTGCATTCCGGAACTAAGACAATCACGCGGTTTATAATTGCACAAATTAATCATTGTATTTTAACGAAAACCTTGGTTTAGTGTGTGTTTGACAACCTGGCAAATGAAGGTGACAAGCTCCTAATGAAGATAAGCTAAGTGCTGATTGTAAGGACCTGGGCACTGACGCTAAATCAGTGCCAAGCCTGTTCCACCGCGACAGCATCAACTCACAAGATGAGTTTATTCATTGAGGCCTGCAAAAAGGAGCTTAGAAAATGCTACCACAATCACAGTTGATTTATCACGGGACTCTCAGGTATTGTGAATTGGATGCTATCACATCCGCATTCCCTCCCCCCAATTGATAAGAAGATCAAAGCGGCACACAGGATCGTGTGCATGGGTACGAGTAGCATCCTTCATCATCTTCCATTAAGTCACAGTTTTTCCCAACGATTTAGTGTCCTGGCAATCCCCGTCCCCATCTGTGGCATCGTCTGGTTTTGTGGATTTCTAGTTGTGCAAATGAGCAAAAAACCCCATGTTGTAAGAAATTGCTACTAACCATGTCTGAAAGTGCCTTTAAAACAGAATCCTTTATCGCCATACATAATTCAATTGGTACATCTAAAAACGGGGGTATGAGCAATTGGGACTGCCAACATTCCCAGGCATTAAATATCTATGGTTGATGGTTTCCATGGTCTTGCATTGCTAAAGGTACACAAATGCAGTCAAACAACACCCCAATGCAAGCATTCCACAACATAAAGAACCTGGTCGCAATTAACATGCAACATTGACGTTGCATGCTAACATTGGTGGCTGTTGGGATGTGGCCCTCTCCTATCCCATTGGTTACGAGAAAGTGGCTGAAAATAGCTGCGTGACTGAAAGTAATGATGACAATTAAGTTGACGTCAAAACTCATGGCGAGACACATGGTGTCCATTTGCTGAGCGCTATGAATCGGCGAATGCTGTGTGGATTAGCATCACACCTTCGTGGCCCCGGCATAACTTCAAACTACTCGGCCTGTTTCGGCACGCAGCTCATTATTTTGGCTCTACCACTGTGCGCCTGTGTGTGCAAACGGCATTTAACTTAATAATATTTAGGCAAAAATAAAAAAAATCCTTCTGAATTTCTTATGCCACTGGTAAAAATGCCATTGGTTTCGCATAGTGGATACGAGTTTAAATGTAAATAAATTCCCTGATTACGCCAAAGAGAAAGTAACAAATCTAACGAGGTTGAAGTTTCTTTTGCGTTTGACTAGCTACGTATCCCAGTGGCTAGGTTTTACGAAGGTGTATAGTTGGCATTCTCTATTCGCAACGCGAAATAACACTGAACTACGTTGTATTTGAAGCTAAGAAGAGGTCTAGGGTGGCGCAACACGCTCGCAGGCATTGCTGTAAGTAGAAAAAGGTCGGAACCGCGAAAAAAATCCGCAGGTTTCTGCCCCAAGCGGTTTTGTATTTGAAGCCACTGGAACCTTGACCACTTTGCACGTAAACACATCGACCAATTTTATGTCTGTGTTGTCGGTCTCACTGGCCAGTCGTTGTCACCAGGCCCCCGATGTGACCAACTCCAGGGTCTTTTTACATGGGCCTCTTTTCGTGTGAGTGCATTAACTTTGTCAACTTTTTAATCACTAAATCAAGTTTCTATAACTAAAGATGCAGTTGCACTTCGGTAATGTGAAATCCGAAAACACACACAGTTCCCTCCAGTGCAATAGAGATAAATGCGAATTCTTTCTGTTTATAGCTGCATCAGTTGAAATAGCCTGACAAACAGATGTCTAGTAATTTGGGAAATTTTGTGGTGGGGTATTGTAGACACCCGAGTACACATTCGCCAAGCTCATTAATAACAAGTAGCTGCCGGAGTGGGTAGCATTTTACGTTGGTGTGGTGACAGTTTGTGACGAATTTAGGACGTTGGGTCCGTGCACCAGTCTATTCACACCAGAAAAAAGCTACATTACTTGTCCTGAATAAACTATTTACTTGTGTGCTTTGAGATCAGACATCAATGTAATTAGTTACTTAAAATAATGAATTTAAGAGACAACATCATCCAAACTCCCGCAAACGTGTTTTTTCTTTGAAGCCTCGAAACTCCTCTCTCTTTATCTTACAGGGCATTTCGGAATCGACGATAGGGAATTGTGGACTAGACAATCGGAAGGGCATCCCGTGGTAAATTATGCGACAGGACTACAACCGGTTAAGCCGCCACAGGCGTAGTAACGTCACCTGCAAGAGCGCATATGACTGTTACATTAACTCTAATTATTTTCACACCCCTCAGCCGTTGTAAGTTGAAGGTCAGAATGGTAATTATGTGATCAGCGGTCAGCGCCAGTTGTAACACAATTTAATGTCCAGGATCGTAAAAGTAATGCGCCCATATCTACCATACCCCCCTCATACTACCACGTTGACTTTTGGTGTAGACAGTTGCTAACTGGGCCGAACCAGTCCTAATTGGTGTTTATGGTTGTCAGGACAGGTGACAAGAGGAAGTTAAAGGGGAAAAGCATAAAAATTCCCTCCGGTATCTGTCACGGCGAGCTGTCAGCCAGGGCGTTTTGGTTGTTGCCAGATGCGATGTGAACCAACACAACCAGTTGCTATACAAAACGAATAACCACCACGACATTCCCACTGTAACCGAAACTCACATTAAATTACACGCAGATTGGCCGCACCAATTTGGTAAAATTCCAGCCAAGCACACTGCCCAACTGGAGGAAGGTGATCACCCCAAGTTATATTTAGACGCATTTAAGACAATTAGAGTGCCTTCGAACGAAGTCCTGTAGTGACTAGAGGATTTAGCACTACCTTACAACCCTCTAGTTAACAGCCCGTGGCTACCCGAGGATAGGAAAAAGGAGGCGAGAGCGGACACGACCGTTTATTAGAGTCGAACCAGCCAAGTGGCTTTGTGTGCGTATGAGCACGCGTGCGTAACAGACGAATGCTGACAAAAATCAATAACAAAAGGGGATGAGTCATCGCTACACACGGGCCTTCATGCACGCACACTCGCGCGGGGCGGCTGTCAGTCCACTACAAATATTCCCCGCCGAGAGTGTTAGCTGTGAAACAGTAAACACTCGACAATAGGTGAACTGAATCAGCAAAGCCGATAACGGGTAATAAGAGTAGGTCGGATCTCGGGGCGGCTGTCAGTCCACTACAGTCCTCCATTTAGAAAATTGAATAGGTAGCTTAGAATTAGAGTTAGAAGCACATGAGCGCCATTTAAGTGCAACGATCTTCACTTTTAGTGTGACTGCCTAATCAGCCGACATTAGTTTGTTCCAGTAAAGCCAAACAGGTTATGGGCAAGCACGCATACCAAGAAATCACTTGTTCTAAGCATGAATTTTAGGCAGAACATTCACGATCAACCGGTTACTTTTAACCGGGGATCAACTATGAAGCCTGTACAATTGCGATCAACTATAATTAGAGGCCCCCGAAACTGGTAACATAATTGTGATCTCTTTACTCACTAATCAAAGTACGACGACTTCGTGGTACCGAGAAGGCCTATCTCGAAAATGTTTATTCGACCCAGGTTTATCAGAAGGTGTTACGAGGAGGTATCAAATTGTTTGTGAAAGTATTTTCAAGTCGACTGACAAGGAGGGGGCGCGATCAACGAGATCACGGGCTGTTGGTAGCCAAGGGATCAAGATTCCTTACTATTCTAGTGAGTATGGGTCATTGAACGAGGGAATGAAAAGTTAAATTGAGGCATTTCATAGGTAAAGGCATTGGCGATGGCCAACGAAATAGCTAAGTCATTGCACTATGGATGGTTTGCATCCTATGCAGCAATAAAAGTACTTAAGCCGCACACACGCGGTTGCATGGTGCGGTGCAAAGTGATTCTAAGTTGAGACGTGCTGTGAACAAACTTCTGTTAGAGTTTCAAAGACACCGTGCAAATGACTATAAGCTGTGAATGAATGGGCTAAGGCTCGTCAGTTTGTTCAATCGTTACTGGGTAGAAAAACAGTTGCTTCAAAATCGAACACAAGTCAGATGTGACGTGAAGAGCCAAAGTTCGTGGGCCAGACTTAATGGCAGTTTCTAGCTGAGCAGTGAGTACTTTTCATGGGAAAGCAGTAGCAATTGAAGAACCTACACAGCAGTTGTAGGGAATGAATACAACGCGGATTTTGCTTACATTAAAACAAAAAGACCCGGATTAGTAATTAGCCATACTGCTGAATGCTGTCGTTGCTGTTTGAAGCAGAGGCATGTACGGTACCAGAATGTTCCACTATTTTTTACCAAAGACGGACAAGGTATATCAATTTTTAAACCTCACTCCATTTAACTGTTTATCCACGTTAACTTGCACTTTAAAGCAGTGTCTTTCACACCTCAAGATACTCGCCTACGAAGGGTCATCCCTTCCACCTTGCAGCTAGTGTGCCGCAGCATATCACTGGCATGGCAACAAAACGCATTTTTGGAGGCTGTCCACCCTCCCTCAAAAACCGCCACGACCTGCTAAGTGGGCGGTCGTGTGGACCATTTTGGTAATGTGGGGGCACAATGCGCTCACGTCTTGTTGGGTTGGGGTGGTGGTGTAGAGGCGTGCCAAGTGCACTATAAAAGCAATCAGTGAGTTCAAGCGTGATTTCGCGTCTCACAGTAGGTACGCGTTGTTCCCTGGTCCATCTATTAATCACACAGACGTCGGTCTTAATTAGACCCGGATACCAAATAGGAGTGTAACGTGTTTTCGTCCAAACACACGGATTTCCTTAGTTTGATCAACGATATTCACTATTGAGTCTGTACCCTAGGTCAGCTGACGGCCAATAGTGATGGCCAAATGGTCGAATTCTACTAACATTGGCCATTTATCGGTAACTTAAAATCAAAAGTTTACGCGTTACATGAATGGACTGAGTGGGTTTTACGAAATGCTAACTTGATGTGTCTACATTTATGAAGAAAGTTGACTGAACAAGTACATTCCTGATGAGGTCCTGTGATGAAGTCTAGGTATTACGAGACTGATTGTTCGTTCAAACGTGTCAGGGGAGAAATTTTCTTGAGGTTACGGAAATGGCTTGGGAGGTGACCATATTTCTGGTGTTAAACAAGAGCCAAACAGTTCTCAGCCACACACCCGCATATACGAAAAAAATGTTTTCTTATGTTGAGTTTAGTGAATCTGGTGACGTTTAGCTGAAACTGAGTAGTCTCGCACTGCAACAACAGCGCATATTTTTAAGTACCCGATATCTGTTACATTTAAGGACCTCCATAATAAAACCAAAGCGCTATTTACACTGAATCCTGACCATTCAAAGTGTCGCCTTTTCATGTCGCCTAAACTAAATCAGAGATGGTTGCGAGTAAAACCACACACTTTAGTCTGGCTATGGACCTGAATAACACAGATACTAGAGAATAACTTAAAGGTACCTAGTATTTCCAATGTAACAGAATTTGATGAAGTTAAGGAATGCCTTTGGTACAATACGTGCTTGGATCACTTCAGCTTAAGTTTAGAATTAGGACAGACATCAATAAGTAGCCATTCTACAGGATTTTTCATTAAGCATATAGTTAGAAGAAATGATTGTGGTTCACTCTAAATTTGGTGGAGTAATAAAGCTTCGGGGCTAGTGGGTTCTCAGCGTTTAAAACAATATCATCTAGTAATGTGTTGTGAAATTACGTAGTGGTATCATTGACCTAGGAAAACCCCAGCGATAAGAATACAGAACCACAAGTGTGACATTGTCGCAGGAAACCGAAAGGTCAGACCACAGCACCGAGTTAAGCAAATCTTCGCAGTCTGCTTTGATAAACAGTGGAACGGTGAACCCTGGCGCCATAGTGGCATGTACGTGGGCATGCGGCTCCTGATTAAACCGCTCGCCCGCCGATTTCAAGGTTGTTTTATTTCTCAACGCGTTGGTTCCCAAAACGGGGATGGCTAAGGCGCGTGCTCCCCCGTGTGTTTGCACGCTTACACACACGCACGCACGCACGCACGCGCTTTCTCCCCGATCGCGGTGTGTGGGAACGCGAGACGCCGGAGTGACATGCGGCGGTTTTTTTTCGGCCCCACGCTCTCGCCACCACCTCTTCTCCCTAGCAAAACTGCCTACCTCAAGTGTACACATCGCACTCAAGCCCCTACCCAGCAGATGTCATTGGTAGTTCCAATTTCGGATAAACGAACCACCGGTGCAGGCAGGGGTTTAAATTAAGGCGCCCAAGGCCGGATTTTGGCAATTTTGTTCGCTTGCATTCGCCAGTAAAAAAGCAGTGAGTTAATAAACTAGGAAGTCCTTTTAAAAGCACGTCTACTTGACTCGACAAACTAGTTACCATTTACTATCAGTTCAAAGCACTTACTCAGAGACAATTTAGGGTTTGTTATTAAAAGGGCATTTCGCAAACAAGGAATCGACTTTTTCACGTTGTTATCGCATGCCTCGAATGCGCCGCCACCTGTCCTGTCTGCTAACACCGAAGGTGCTGACTTTGCTGCATAGAGATGGCGCTAACCCAAGGAACGTGAGAGACTTACTCGTTAAGCGCGCACTTCTTTTTTCAGACTGCCTTTTGGTAAAACCATTTTTTACCAAGGCACATCCTGAATATGTCAAGGCATAAAACGTAAATTTGGGCAGAATATTTCAGGACCTAGACAGAAAATGCGCGTAAGTGTATTTTAGTAGAAAAAGGTATGATATACCCTGGTGCTTGACAATTTTTTGCAGCGATGCATATTTGTGTTTAGTGGGTATACATAGGAGCCTCCATGGCTTACCTTGCCTAACCGCCATAGTGTCATCCGGTCGCGTTGATGCGTAGTTGGTCGAGCCCGACGCTCCTCTAAAACCTTTCTACTTTAAAATTATCAGTAAAACCATTGGATACTTGAACAAATTAACCCAACAAACTGAACTTTTCATCACTAAGTGAGAGCTTGAGTTAGCAAGCTAATGTAGCCATTCTTCTTGATAATGTGTTTAATTGTTAGTCCACACAGAACAATTTAGAGTCATTAAGCTGATGAATCTATCTCTTCTTCAGCGATCCCCCAGTCCTGGAAGAAAATAAATTAACAATTTTCCTTCTTACGACAAGGAAAAGGACGACTTTAACTTTCCTTCGTTGAAACCCCCCTATCTGGATAAAAACGCCTTCCAATTAAAAGTCTTCAACAATTTAATGCATGAAGTGCTCTAAATCGTTTGAACACAGCATGAAGTAAGCGCCCAACTGAGGTTCTCAGACTCCCTCGAAGCACAATACACTGCCTAAAAAGTTAAATAACACAACTCGAGCTTCCGAGCCCAAAATCACTGCAGAAGAGGCTAATCTCTCTTTCAATGTTTGCTGAAAAAGATAATAACTCAATCGGCAAATTCGTCCTGAAGGACATCAGTTTTGTTGATGGGTTAATCCAAAGACAGGTCATTTGATCAAGAAGGTGGCTTCCAGTTGAAAGGTCAATTACTCTTTCTCTACACACAAGTCTTCTTTTTGGAAACCACGCAGAGATGCAGCCAAAAAATATTTCCCTCAGTAATTCCTGCATTCTAATCCATTGGTGGCAATACCTACTCTGTGCCTAAACGGCTACTTCGTCAGTTCGCGGGCGCAGATGTCTCTAACGTAAGGTGTGGTTGCGACCTACGGTTCATTGAACCATCTAATTTAGTTTTCCAATTAGCTAGAACGATTTAGAAACTTCATGGCTTATTCTTCTGGATCTTGGAGGAATTTGCAAAACCAAAAAATTCCGGAGAACTTTGCTACCAGCCCCCTTTAAAAAATGACCATGTACTTTTACAGCTCTACTTACTAGAGATGTACTACACGGTGACTGTAAATTCTACCATATTAGTACCTCTGTGGCACAATTTTAGCACCACCATAACGCCGAGCAAATCGAGTCGCTCCAAAATACAATCATATGTACACGCGTTGCCATGCCTACCCGCTGCGTCAAAGCACATTCCATAGACTTTCACTGCACAAACATTTGACTGACCCTCTTCGTGCAACTCTCCAGGCACGCGCAATTATCGATCCAAGTTAACGATACGAATCGTGTCCAGTTAGCGGGCTTTTTAAAAAAAAGGCGTCATGTACTGTTCGGACACACAGACTCTAACTCAGAGAACAGCTCCCAAAGAGATTGCTCCCTGTTTCCCAGAGCAGGTTTATGCCACTTCAAATGGCATTGAAAGCGGCGTTTCAACAATCGGTTTCCGGTCTGGCCGCTATGCTCCAGAAGAGGCACAAGAATCCCTCAACAGGCGTTTCGCTCAAGCGAACTTGGATTTCGACATAAGCCAACAAACTCGCCATGACAACCGCAACATGATGACGGAAACTGAAGAGAAAAGTAAATCAGATTTCACAAACACGACCGAGAAGTTGAGGGAGCGTCTGAAGGACTTGCATTTCTGGAAGTCTGAACTGGAGAAGGAAATTCTCGATGTGATTGCCACTAACGATCGGTTGATTAAAAGAAAGAGGGAACTAGAGAGGACCCTTGAAGCATTGGATGAGTGCGTTTTGCTCACAACGGACTGCCTGAATGCCAGGCAAAGGCGGTTTGGCGAGGATTTGCAGCAAGACGCAGTTGAGCTCGAACTTATGAAGGCAAGTGTTTCACCTGTTAATTCGTCGGGGTTTTTTTAATACTTTTTAAATTGTTGTGTGTGTGTGTATGTGATAAGAATGAAAGTGCCTGTCACTTTCCCACCAACTTCCGCTGTGTTCCAGTATTTGTGACAGAAAGTTGCAAATACTTCAACCTGCAGTGCAGATGGAACAATATTTTAATTGCGTCTAATGGTCTGGTGAGATCCACTATTTCTTGACAAAAAACCAGCCGTTAACGGGACCGCCGCGTGACCCAGAGGCATGAAATAAATACCTTGCCTTTAATTAGAGGTCAGATTTCACTGGCCAAGGTATAAGCGAAAGCAGCAGGAGAAATAAGGGCTAAGTCATTTTCCAGAAATACATCTCTGTTCATTTTACTCTCCAGAATAGGAAATTGAATAAATCACACTGGGAAAGAGCATGCGGATTTGCCGCAGTTGGGGAATTCAACCAGTTTAATGCGAGGCAGAGTTTAGTGAACATAAAAGGAGCTTCTGGGTGTTACTTCTCATAGTGTGTCATTTCTTTAATTTTTTACCTGCTCACCCACTGACGCAGAGTTAAATAATGGGCGATCGCTGATGCCCCGAAATTCAAGAAACGATTTAGCGGCAACTAAAATCTGTCCAGTCCAGCGTTTTCCATAGAAACGAAACGTCGAGATGATTAAGCAACCTAGCCTGCAAGCTGCTAGGACCCCAGAAGCAGCTCTTGGTTCTGAAAACAAAAAAAGCAAGTTTTTTTTGATTTTGTGAAATTCATATTGTTTGTCCAGTTTCCCCGGGTAGCGGATGACTACGAGCTTGCCTTTGCTTGAGTAGCTTGAAAATAGTTAATTACAAGTGAAAGGGATCATTCATTTTTGGTGACTTGATAATTGGCACTTGTTTTCACAAAAGAAAATGTAGGTGTGAAGGGACGGGTGTCTGGAAAAGCTTAACGTGCTACCCGCAACACACGAGGCAGAAACCCTTGATGGGCCACCACACAAGCGACTTCCAATGAGGTGACGAAGTCCCACGTGGATGAAATAGCCCACGCCTGCTCGACACCCAACTGAAAATTGAGCCTCAAGTATCCGCGAGACTTCAGACACACGAAAATCCAATGAATGTGATTTGGTTGAGAGTGTACAGAGGTGGCTGGCAGGCAATTACCACAAGCGACTGCTCGGTGCCACCTTTGGCAACACTACTTAGAGCTTAAGAGGATGCTGGGTTTCCAGGTTACGTAGTCCCAACATGCATTTGGGTTCAAGAAAAAAAAACACAAATATTCGCAGGATGAAGCGAATGAGCAAGAAAGGAAATGTTGCAATGTTAATAAAACATTATGCATTTTTTGTTCCTTGAAGGAGCTGGATATTCTCAACAAAGCCATTGCCCTAGTCAAACGTTCAATCCAACAAGTCAATAACCAGCTCGAGTGAGTTCTTTTCTTAAAAATGAGTTGACTGCATGCCATTAAGGAAATATCACATTTTTAAAAGACCTAATTTTTTACCGGTGCACCAGTGAGTTGTTATCATTGACAAGACGGCACGTAAAATTCAAGGTCAGCATAGAACTCATGAAAAGGTTTCAACTGATTCAGCACACCATCGTTTTAAATAACTTGAAATAGTCGAAGACCCTTGTCAGACAGCGAATGCCCATTTACATAAGCTTCTCAACATCAAATGTGTCCCATTAATTTGTCCAAAATCCTGATGAAATTTGGTGATAGGGACTTTTTTGAGGCAGAGAATAAACCCTAACATGGCATTTCCCACCTAATATTTAAAGATGAAAATTGTATTTGAAAGAGAAATTTAATAGTTGCGTAGGGATTTTAGATTCAAATGTCAACGTGCGCATAATACCACCAGCGCTTGATATATTTACTATAACAAGCGAAATAAAACATTTCAATGACTTCCGTGGTTTCTCATTTTGGTGCGACCCAGACAAACGCATAAATACACTAAGCCATGGCAGTGAGCATCTAAAAACGCTGAAATTGTAACACGACTTGAAGGACACGACTTTGGTAGTTGCATGAGTGATGTGAGGCAGAATGCGGGTGCACATGTTTGTCACCTTCGTGAATAGGAGGAACCGTCAGGCGAAGCAGGACCTGGAGATGGCGTGGAGCGATAAGCACGAGGCAGACCTGCTCGACTCCGAGGGGGCCCACTTGAAGCCAACAAGCACCAACAAGCAGCACTACGCGGGCGAGGCGCGTAGCTGGCCGCAGGCCGCGCAGTCGACCGTCCAGTCGTGGACCCAACACGCCCACGACCTCATCCTGCGCTCGGAACACGAAAGAATGGCCAGCGAACAGCTGTACCAACTCTGTGAGAGCATCGCCATTGACGTCGCTCGTGATGTGGTCAACCAGAAGGACTGCGTAAACGTTGCTTTCCAGAAGAGACTGGACGAATACGAATGTGACAAGCAAAGATTGATTGAGCAACTCAAAAAGGCAAGTCTAGAAAGCCTTACTCCTTGGCAAAGTAAATTTGTGCCCTTCCAATTAGCCAATTTAAGGTGCACAAAATTCATAGAGGGCATGCACACATTGCCTAATTTCGAGAAGGTGAAACAGTAATGCTGTTTTAGTATCTTTACAGACGTCGCATTTTCCTTTCACGTCTCTAATCTTTTTTCTCATGGATTAATGGTGACAAATAGTTTAAATGTATTAAAATGAGGAAATATTAATTTACAATTTGTCAGATATTAATAATGTGTACGCAATTAATTCGTGAAAAATACTGTTGACATTCACTTAAAACCCATCAGCGGTTAGTGAAGAAATTATGGACTAGGCAGAGGTTTATGAGCTACTTGATAATCCTTAAAAACTAGCCATGCATGGAGCATACAATGTGACATTTTGGGCGTTTTGTCATTGATGAATCGACATGGAAAGGAGGATTCGCGTTGTTTGTGTTTTGATTTTCAGGTCGCTGTTCGGTGCTTTACTTGCCTTTAAAACACTTTAATTCCACACTGGCATAATTGTTGGTTCATTGGTACAGCCAGAGTGTGTGGTTCCCTGTTGCTGTATCGAAAGGCGAGCTATTGCAGTGAGTTTTTGCAATTCCAATGAAAAGTTGGAAATACCGATAAACGATGCAAATCAGGCACTTCATTGCAAAGGAGACTTGCAGCATGTTTTAAATTAAATTTGTATTCACTGCGAGTTGGGAACGAAGCGTGTCCGTGCAAATAAAAAGGGCCTATTGCATTCCGAAATTGGTAGCACGAAAAGCAAAAGTCAAAAATTACACACGGGACATGCCGAAACTGTGGTAAATAATTTTAATGGCAGTAGTTCATAAAGTGGGCTCCTTTTCAGATCTGTACAGAGATTACAGAATTGGAAAATAACATCAAAGAGATGGAATATGCAATCATTGCCAAGGACGCTTATGTCAAGACAATACAAACACGACTACATCTTCACAACCAAAGACCAAATGTTGAGAACTGTCGCGACTCACCCCAGAAGGCGTAAGTGCAGGTTCTTTTATTCCCATTGAATTGCCTCAATGCTGAAAAGACTTGCTTCCAGTAGACTAAACAAGCGTGTGTAAGTTATTTATTTTAAGTAGATGATGCTCTTGATGGTGTCATGCAGAGTAGTAACTCGATGGAAAACTTCAAAATTCACATAAGAGAATGAGGCAAGTTTCACTGCCAATTCAAAGTGAGTGGTCAAGTGACATGTTGGCGAAAACAAGTGGTTGTTTTTGCAAATCAAGGGGGATGGCAATGAGCCCAGAGTATTAGTTTGTTGGGAAAGGAAGATGAACTGGTGCATAGAATACCCCGGGCCTACAACCAGCCGATGTGATGTGGGAGAATGGATCGCAGGCCAAGCGGAAAACCAGCCGTTGATTCCACCTATCAAATGATAAAAGCACTTGAATACGATGAGGCCTAGTCTGGAGCTGAAAAAACATAGGCTTTCGATTGGCACACACTGTCGAACGCACATTTGATTTATGCTGTACGAAGCGTAGACACGGGCACAACATGGAAAAAAGTTCTTTCAGGCCACGCCGAGGAAGTGTTAAATTGCAAGTTGATGCCACGCCTTGCGAATTTCACCAAAGTGTTTCTTTTTGATTATCTTAATTTAGCTTTTCATTCATTTGCGAAATTGTAGCTAAGTTAGCGTCGCACGTAAACACACAGGCATGGTGTTGATGATGTCGTTGTCATCCCCATTAGGCAGGATCGCTTCGAAAGAACTCGCTTTTAGTTAGGACTAAATTTTCACAAAAACCCAACTTCTAACTTCCTTTCATAGTGAAGACCTTTCATTCCAAAAAAACCTATATTCTAGAATACTTCAGTAACTAGGTACTCATTTCTACATAACTGTTGGTGAAAATTGTATAACACGGCCGGCCGTTGGCATCCCTCAAACCAATGGGATTGGCATTATGCAAATCATTGAAATAAATGCAACACAAGGTTATCAAAGTAAATCAAATTATTGAATGTTCTATGTGGAGTTAATTTGATTACCAAAGGAGACTTTCATCCGACAAGCTTCCATTGAGTTTAACAAAGTGGATGGTTAAAAATGATGCCTAGCAGGAGTAATGTCAAAATTGTGTATTAAGCCGTTACCTTGAATGTTTTACTCAGAAACAACGTCTTCAGATTCCAGACTAATAGCTTGGTTCAACTCAAAATTCCTTGCTTTTAGGATGCTCGATGAAATGCATAACATTCAGGTGACGATTGACAAGTTACGGGATCAGCTTGCGCTTACGGAGAACAACCTCAAACACCTTCAGGATACGCAGCTAATGCTTGAAAAGGAAATTCACATGAAGAATGTTTCCATTCAAGTCGATAAAGACCACTGCGCTCGTCATAGAATGGCCTTCCCCTCTGCAATTAGGCTCCGTGGACACTGAACGCAAATGGTTAAAAATTACTTAGCACCATTAAAAATTTACAAACATATGCTTAGAAAATGGTAAAGTCTTTGAATCAACTTCGAGGGCCTAAATGTTCTATTTAAGTATAATACTTGTGTTACAATAATCGGCTCTCATATTTCATAATTGGTAACAGTTATTCATAGTAGTGTGAGAGAAATACTCCCGTCTTTTCGTCTGACTTCAAGATGCTCACGTGCACCAGAAAATTTCGAAAATCCTGCCTTTTTCATGTTGATTTGAGGGGACAAATCAGCGAGCAATAACCGACGTAATTTAAGAACCACAAATTTTCACTACTGTATGCAATACTTAAAAAAAGCGTCCTTCGAAGCCTTGACTCGGATACTCGTGATTGCTTAACTAAAGTGAGGTCATTATTTTAATAAAACTCATGCTCTATGAGAAATTTGTAGTTTTAATGAAATGCTAACAACTCGAATGGGCAGAAATTAACTTTTGTTACAATGCGAAAACAGGTGTAATCTTAGAAAAAAACAAAATAACTTAAATGTGAAGTTAATTGTCTTAAAATAGCATGATTTAAATCTGCAAAACAGGTTCGAGAATCGCAGTAATAAGCATTTGACCTCAGCTGTTAATTTCACTGAACTCATACTGAGAGTTTAAGTAAGTTGCATGACTCTAATTATAATAACGACGATTAAGAATTCATCATTTCATTTAGAATCTCTAAACAGAGTTGTTCAATGAGATGTTTTATCTACTTGTACTACAACTGCTATTCGTTAATTACTACCCGTAGTACCTATCACGTAAAAACAGTGAGCGAAGCAGAATCATTTGAGCACTACTAATATGTGCAAATGTACAAGCAACATCAGATAAACTACTAGAAGATCCTCAGTAAAAACTCTGGCAAACTCGAAGAAAATTTCTACCTTTCACCACGATTTGCCGCGTGCTCATGAGTGGTCGCCATTCTCAGTCTTTGTGCCTCAATGAACTAAATGGTAAAAAGCTAATAACAAGGAATGAGCAGTTATGGTATTCCACTTGGAAGCCAAATTATTCCAAAACCATGCCCTATTGAATCAACTGGTCTTTAGGTTCGCGGAAGTTGCAGTGTCTGGAAAGTGTCTGGTGAGCGGAATGCACAATATAGTATTTGTCTTTAAGGTAAAAACAAAGTAATTCCGCGAAGAATACAGTTCCTCCCAGCTTAATCCGTTCGCTAAATATCACTGTTTTGCTATCTGCACTCAATTTTGAGACCGTTAGTTGCAGTCTTTAAAATAATTAGAAGGTAAAATTGGGAAATATTCGAGTAACTGGGACATTAGAGTGCTGTTTAACTATGAAGAAGCACAAGTACAATCCATGGTCACCTCTAAGGAGATTTCCTCCGTTCAGTCCCAAAGAGGAACCCATTGTCAACCACAACAAACTAATGACATTTGGTGCCCATCTAAGCGGAAGAAGAAAGTTGCATGCTCCGTTTGAGTCACGGATCGCTGTCTAATGGTTTTCAACTTTTTGGTTCAGGAAAAGACTCTCGGTTGAGAGAATGGCAAAGAATTTGATGAAAGGGTAATTTCGCTCTAAAGGCCAGGTTTCCATAAATGTTGTTGTTAATAGCTGCAGGGCATACGAAAATGCGCCAAAAATTTCTTATATCGTTATTGTACAAAAATGCGAATTTGGATTGTGAGCTTCGAATATTAACCTAGCCTCACAAGATATCTCAAGAAATCCATTTTGATGATGGAAAATAGTAACACAGTTTATATTATATATTGACCATTCAAAAGCCAGAATATCTGGACTAGTGCACGGTGTTTGATGAGGTAGCACCAGCACAAAAATGACGACACCAACATACTTCCTCCATGATTCCTCTAAAAATAAATCGAAATTAAACTCCACAGTGGATAGGAAACACTTACTTACGCTGGGTGAATGCAAAGATTGATTAAATTTTTTGCAAAAGAAACATCAATTCCACAGGCCCATATACCAGGTCAGGTGCACAGACGCACTTTTGTGCATACCTGTCGGGTATAACACGGCCGAAATTAACTAGCAGGAAATTCAGTCCCCATTGGTATAGACGACTTAAGTCTATTTCAAGGCGCATGAACTTCATATAGTTCTACGCCTTCTGATAACGCGATTATATATATTTGAAAATAAAAGTAACCTCTCCTTAATTATATTTTTGCAGCGCGTTTAACATATCGAATATAATTAACGTTTACTTTAGCCCCACAGAGCCCTCAAGATTACATAAATATCATTTTCTAACAATCATGAATGCATCCTTCCACGTCTAATGCAAATTTAAGGTTTTAAAATGATTTATCGAACTAGCACCTGGACTAAATCCAACTGATATGGAACACGACAAACTTAATTTTCTCCAAGAAACTCTTCAAAACGATGATGAAGCCTGAGAACTAAAACGGTACTTTCACACTCCATTTTGACCTGAATAATAATGGATCTGAGACGTATTAAAGTTACGTTTAAGGGAATACAAAACGTTCGACCAGATTTAGGTTGACAGCATGTTTATTTAAATATTTTATGTAGTGTGATCAGCTGTCAACAAGTAATATTTTTGTTTCCATTTGGGAAGTACTTGGGAGTTGGTTTATAATTACAGTTATGAATTTTCCTCACGTCCTTGTATAGATTGCAGAGCAAACGACTTCTTAATTGCAAAAGCAAAAGATTTAATATTAAAAGCTTAAACAATATATCATCGCCACAACAAATCATTAATAAAAGTCATTGATAAACAAATTGGTGTTTTAATTAGCTTTAGTTTGCCCGGTGGACATAGTGTTTGGACAGGACTGCTGCTGCTGCTGGGTCGTCATGTCTCAGTCTCTAATATCGAAGAAACGAAAAGAATTCCTTGGCCTTTCTGCGCCTTTGGGATATGTTGCTGGTGTTGGTCGTGGTGCAACTGGCTTCACAACACGGTCTGATATCGGTCCAGCTCGAGAAGCCACCGATGTTTCTGACGAACGACACATGGCCCCGTCCAAACGGAAAAAGGAACAGGAGAAGGAAGAGGAAGCAGAAGAGGATCTTAATGAGTCTAATTATGATGAGGTTAGGTTATGTGCACTTCATATATTATTTATTTTACGTAGTTATGATTTTTGTTGCTACATTGAACATGGTTCAGCCTTAGAGCAACTTGTTGACGATATTAATTGTTTTTTGGTTGTGTTGATGCTGCTTTGATGTAGATTTCGTTTGGTTATTTATGCACTTTCTCCCAATAAAACGTTTATTTTGCCTGTCTAGACAGCGTGTCGTTGTTCAATATTTTCAAATGGTATCTAGCTACCAGGCTTCGTTTAGGATTATTAAGAAATAAAATGAGTATCAGTCTGGCGGTGTCATTTACTTCACAACAATACGTAATTTGTAGTTAAAAGATTCGAACAGGTCTTTAGAATAACCATTGGCCTACTGAGTCGGATAAGTTATGCAAAAGTACAAAGTAGAATGCTGTCGAATTAATAAATAACAGAGTTTTACCCAACTCACTAGTCACATTAGACATTAATAATGTTCGTTGGAGGAATGTGTCGCATGATGCTTAAATGCTATGACTTTGAAACAATCGGAAATTTAATTCAGTGTCTGGAGAATAGTCTGTAGAGATCATTAGTCAGATGTAGTTGATTTAGTTAGGGGATAGTAACATTCTTAGTATATGTGCTAAAGAGGTATGAATAATGCCTCATAAAATTACTTCGAAATTATTTCATAATCAATGACTCGGAATTCTTGAATAACTTCGGAGTGATACTAATGTTGAGGTTCTTTAGTAGAATCCTACGAAAGGTTTTGTGGGGTTTGGCCCGTGATATAGTATGATCAATTTCCTGACGTGTTGCTTAATTCAATATTTCCATTCAGTTCACGGGATATGGTGGTAGCATCTGTTCGAAGGACCCCTACGAGAAGGACGATGAAGAAGCCGACGAGATATATGCTTCGATTGACGAAAGGATGGATGAACGACGCAAAACCTACAGGGAGAAGCGTGAGGCTGAAGAAATTGAACGTTATCGTCGGGAACGGCCAAAAATCCAACAGCAGTTCATCGACCTGAAACGCGAACTGGCTACCGTTTCAGAAAGTGAGTGGCTTAGTCTGCCTGAAGTTGGGGACTCTCGCAACAGGCGTCAGAGAAACCCACGGGCTGAGGTCTTCACTCCTGTGCCCGATAGCATTATAGCGAAAGGTCTACAAGATTCGCAAGTAATTTCTATTCTCGTTTTATGTTTAAGTCTACCCTTTGTGTCTTCCACTTTATTTATTCGTTTGCCATTCACTATTGTTCGAAACTCATTATTTGAATGTAGCTTATTGATAGGTTTAAAGGGAAAGCGATGTCGAGTTAAAATCGATTCCTCGGTTTTTTTGGTATTGTCCTGTCAGTTTCCTTGGCTCTTTATGGGCTTAATTCCTTAACAAAGCGACTTTTAGTAATCGGACATGTTCCCATTCCTGTCTGTCACTTGCCGTGGATTTGCTTTGGTAGAACGACTTAAATGTTCAATTACCAGAGGAGTCATAAAGGTAGAAGTTTAATTTTTAAACAAAGGTGTGACCAATGGTATCGAATATTGTCTTCAGCAAACACTAAATTTTCTGACTTTATGTAATCATTTTCTAAAACTCTGAAGGAAATTTTAACTGCATTGAGATGGTGGCTAATAATGAGGATCGTATAAATCGGTTGTCTGTTTACACCGGTAACTCCTAGGATGTTTTGTTTTATGAATCAGGTTCAACGCAAACAAATAGAATGTCAAATCATTTCTTGATTTAAAATACAATATCGGCGAGACCGTCACTTTTTAAGCAACTTTTTACTAGCCTAATAATTGGTTTCAATTCATTTCTGATGGTCATTCAAGCCATACGTCTCGTATAATGCTCACTCGTGCTTGTCGGTCTAGTCACATTATCTGGAACTTTTGCTAAGGGTTGGTTTTGTGGTTCCTAAGCATTAACTTCAGATCATGCCATCTACTTACTGTTTTATTTGCCTTTGTCAATGAAGTAAACTTTGGCTTTTCCAAAATTAAGTAATATTAGATACCAAAAATATTCTTTCTCCACGCCTTGCCAGTAGAATAAATTAGTGTAACAAACACTCGTCAGATTGTTAGTAGGTTTTCTTAGACGCCCGTGAGATGGCTTAGCTCTTGCCCACATTAATCCCGCTACTATTGCTGCTTCACGTCCATTGTAATAATTTTAGATAAATACGCAGCTGGACTCGGCAGAGCAGCTCTTTGGTGGACTAACGACACCTTTTGGTGCTCAAACACCTACGGGAGACATCGATATGAAGAAAATTGGCCAAGCGCGTACCTCCTTAATGGACATCAAGTTGAATCAGGTACCGTTGTTATTGCATGAAGTCGTAGTTTTGTGGCACTTCAAAAAGTTTGCTCTCTTTATCTTCGAGTGGTCTGCAATCTTATAATTGGTAATTGTGCTCATCCATCGCATTTTGCCAACGTGCTTTTGACTTGACGTCAATAGGACTTATCAATTTTAGTCGAAATTAAATTGTAACTAATTTGACTTGCTAAGTACACTAGGCGGCTCATTTTTATGTCAACTGACCAAAAGTAGATCGTGTCCTGTTGTTTGTTTTCCCCGCGATAAGTCAGCAGTCCATCGTTGATTCGATCAGTGAAAATCTATGACTAGTTTTGAGTGTACTCCTGGGGATTGGTGAAGTATTTTATTCGTCATAGTGATTACACAATGAGTCCTCATGCTTTTATAGTCGACTGACGTGTTTTAAGAATCAATCTCTTTCCTATACGTGGCTGTGTACACAAAGGTTGTTATCTTAGAAAATTAGGTTTTTTAGTAAATGTAAATGGATCCAAATTTACAAGGACCAATTGAGGAACCCTCGGTTCTTAAAATTGTTGTTAAACTCTTTTCGGCCTTTAAATTCAACTTAATATTTGACTTCGGTCGTACGTAGTTAATGCGGCTATCGTCCATGCTTATCTAGGTGTCGGACAGTGTATCCGGTCAGACGGTGGTGGACCCAAAGGGTTACCTAACAGACCTACAATCAATGATCCCTCAGTATGCCGGCGACATCAACGACATGAAGAAGGCTCGTCTGCTGCTCAAGTCAGTGCGTGAAACCAACCCAAAACACTCACCAGGTTGGATCGCATCGGCTCGTCTCGAAGAGATTGCCGGCAAATTGCAGGTCTGTTGGTCAAATTATTGGCGTCGTTTTTAGCGCGTTTATCTGCCCTTCACTAAAGGCTTCAATTTTTGCTGTGTCTAGCGCGTTTGTAAGCAATGTTGTAACTGAGATACCACAGACTTGTGGTTTTAACTGGTTAAATTAACTCTTCTAGTAAATTGATGCATGAACTTAGCTTTTCATTGTCATCATTTTGCGTATAAAGCAAAGATTTTGGTGTGGAAAACAACTGCCTGACAGACTTGGCATTCGCTATACTCGATCACTCTGCGAAAGAGACAATTTTTCATCCCATTTACTGTGAGGTTAATTGAACATGTGAATACTTGCGTTCAATTACAGCATTTCTTCTCAGCTTGCGCAAAGTAACTGCCATCCGTCATCTCGCTGTGACTCGAGTTAGTACGGGTGCAGTAGTGAGCATCTGTTGTGACTTCAGACCATGGCTTCCTAGGAGTTACAGCTTGGTGCATGTAGTTTCACAATGCGGCCCGCAAAGATCGAATGCCTTGTGGACGTATGGACAGACTTTGACGCCTGTCAATTTGAAAGAAAGAGCGAGCAGAAAAATTGACCCCACGTGCATTACGTCCCATGAGAGATAATACACGCTAAATCTAGGTGATTTAACCCATGTAATTGGTAGAACGTCTGCAGGAAGAAACGCTGTTACCCAATCACCCCATTCCTGTGTATTCAATTTGTATTCTTAGGTTGCACGGAACCTGATAATGCGTGGCTGTGAAAAGTGTCCCACCTCGGAAGATGTGTGGTTGGAAGCGGCTCGCCTCTGCCCCCCGGATCAAGCTAAATCGGTCGTCGCGCAGGCCATCACCCACCTGCCGCAGGCTGTCCGCCTCTGGGTCAAGGCGGCTGATTTGGAGACAGAGCCCAAAGCCAAACGGACCGTCTTTAAAAAGGGTGAGTTACTTCAGAAAGCAGCGTAATTTTGTACCGCCTGATAAAACGTTTATTGGGCGGGAAATTTTCATTATTCATAACTCGAAGATTACCAAGAAGTAGACAATGCTTAAAGCTGAGATTTAATCAGCCATCCTATACCAATTTAGTTTATAGAGCTGAAAATTGGTCTTTTAATAGATTTAGGAAAGCATTGTTTTTGGTACTAAGTAATTTCCGTTACGTTTCTATTAGCAAATGAAACCCAAAACGGGTTATTATTGTTGCTGTTACACTCATACATCTACAGATAGGCGTTGCCAGCCTTGCCAAGATGCAACGAATCACTAATTTGATCAGCGACTTTTTAGTACCCTTTAATAAGTTTGCTGATGGGACACTAACCGGGATTCACGCTAGAATGTGTAATTAAAAGCACTGGACTAACAAGGGGTCCCAGATTTGTTGATGAGGCGATTATCCTAAGTGCGAGGCTGACAGTATTGTCCCACGTAGGCATCGATTTCTGAGGCGATCGCTGGCCGATTTCTCCGCGCGCTTTATGGACTAGTAACTATGCTCACGATGTTGGATCACTCGCGATTGCTGTCTGCATGAGGAGAGCAATCTTGTGGGCGGTAATTATCGTAGAAACACATGAGGCACAACACCGTGCAGCGCCACTTGCCTACTGCTCTGCTGTCTCAAGAGCTGGTTTGCGTGTAAAAAAAATGGCTCTTTCGTCGATCAAATGCATCTAATCATTGACCGAAACTCAGGCACTAAAGTGTGCCAAATGTGTGCATCGCTGATGGCATGTACGTCTCACGTCAAACCTTACCTTCGATCTTACCAATGACTATCTAGGGGAATCCTGTCGACCTGGTACCCTTTTAAACACACCTGCAGCTTATCAAAATCCGTCTTTTGCGAGGTTGATGGTCTCCCTGTAGTACTAAAACTTCCAGCCCAATAATTCTACCCATACCGAAGCCTTCAATTTGCTTCATTCTACATACTTACTTGGTACTTGACCAAGACCCTCCAGTTGCACGCCTCAGGAATGCAGTTCCTCAAATCTCACCAGACAGCTCTAATCTCGGCATAATTGAAACTGTCAGGATTACACTCTCAGTTTGCTTGGAAATATCGCTTGTTATTTATTCAAGTGCCCGTAAATTGATAAATATAATATAAAGTACGTTAAAGTAAGTTCTGTAATTACGTGATTCTTTTGACTGTTAGTAGTTTGGTTTAAATTTGATCACCTGAAAATCTCACGATCACGGCTTTATTTCTACCCACACAGAATCCCCACCCATCCTTTAACAATGACTTCATTTCCTACGTATAAACATTGTGTTGCTTTGTTGTGGCTTCATTTCTGATCAAGGTTGGTACTTGTAACGTGATATTGTAGCCTGCCTGGAAACAATTTCTCCACGTATCTTCCTTTTGTGCCTATTTGAGTTTATAGTTACTTTTCAATAACTGAATGAAGGCACACAAGCCCCGTTCTCGAGATGCATCCCCTTTTCTTCCTTCACACCTGTGTTGTACGGCTGTATCACCTCTGACTGTTTCCTGAACGGTGGCTTCACAAATGTCAAATAAACTTCGCATTAGCCTTTCATTATACGCAATTTGAAACACGTTTTCGATCAATGCTAATTGATTTAGCAACGGTTTTCGTCAGAAAACAAATTAAGTGGTTCTTTGACTCGATCAAGGGTTTTACTCTAACCCTGACACTGGTTTATTTGTTTAGTTCCTCAAATTTTACAAAAATTCCTTTCCACAGATCTCAGCTATTTTGCTGTTTACTTTGCGTCGTTTTGACTGGTCATTTACTTACCTTTACTCCTGAAGCCACAGCTGTAATCTCTGCCTAGTTGTCGGCCCTTGATGTAGTATTTCATGTAATGAAATGGTATAGTTCGTTCAAAGGATCTTCTATCCGAATGGTTACGATAAATTATGCGCATTGCGTGATAATTGGTTCAAGGCAGCATTGTGGTAAAGTTGTGCGTTTCATGCGTTCCAAACCAGGAACATACTTTTTTCTAATTTGTTTAATGATACTCTCTTCGTGTTCTAGCCTTGGAGAATGTGCCGAATTCAGTGCGTCTGTGGAAGTTGGCGGTTGAGCTGGAGGACGAGGAGGACGCCCGCGTGATGCTGAGTCTCGCCGTGGAGTGCTGTCCCACGTCGGCGGAGCTCTGGCTTGCACTGGCGCGTCTCGAAACCTACGAGCAGGCTCGTGTGGTGCTGAACAAGGCCCACGAGCAGATCCCCACGGAGCGACAGATTTGGTTTGCGGCAGCTCGCTTAGAGGAAGCCAACGACCAGTGCGCGAGAGTCGGCAAGATAATCGACGCGGGTGTACAGTCGCTCAAGGCTAACATGGTGGAAATTAATCGGGAGGAGTGGATTAAGGAGGCAGAGGAATGCGAAAAGGCCAAATCCATACTTACAGCCCAGGCAATTATGTAAGTCGGGACGGTACTTGGTCCAGGGTGGGAGTACGATGTGGTGCTCTACGACTAGCCTAATGTTACAACCGATAAATACTTATCGAGTGCTTTTAGGCATAGTTAGTCTTTGAATCGGTTTGTGAAGGATGACTTCATCCACATAACTTCTCTTGCATATGACAAAGTGGATAGTCAGATTTGTTTCGTCAGGGTCATTAACGCTAACCCTAAGGCCAAGATGTTTAAAAGTGGTTGTTGCCTAATCTGTCACTCAAATGCGCACCTCGAAATCCCCTTCTACTTTCTCTAGAAAAGCCATAATTGGACACGGCATTGAAGAACAGGACAAAAAGCACACTTGGTTGGCCGACGCAGAGTCGTGCGCAGCAAATGGAGCGATTGAATGTGCCCGAGCGATCTACGCTGTGGCGCTGGCCCAATTCCCGAAGAAGAAGAGCATCTGGTTGCGGGCCGCTTACTTTGAGCGCAATCACGGCACCAGGCAAGTCCTACTATTCTTCGTAAAACCTACTTAAACGTTAATGGTAGAGTTTTTTAAAACGTGCATCGTTTTGTTGCTGTCTTGTCACACAATTGACTGGTTCTCTCAAATTGTGGCCGAGTTTGAACCACAACGGACTTGAACATTTACTGCCCTCGATTGTGAATGAATTGGGATGGGGGTAGATATTAACATTAGCAGTCTAAATATTAGCGTCAACTCTTTGCTTGCTCCTCCAATTTCGAGATAAGTTGATCCCTAAAGTACACCTCTTTAACCTCGAAAAAAAAACAATTGCTTGCTGTCGGAGTCTGGCAGAATCGTAGTAATCGGCCTTGATGTTTTTTCGAATCGCGAAATGGTGTTGGTCTGACCTTTGTCACGTGGGCTGTTTGAGGGGACAACTAAGATTTCCACTGTGGATGATTTAGCGTTTGCTTTCATGAAATCTATGTTTTAGCTTCCAATTAGTTTGTCTTAACTGTTCTATGATCTCATCACAACTTTCGGTAGCCCTTAAAGGCAGGAACCTGAGATATGAACGCCACTAGTGGGGCGCCAGTTTGGATCCATTACTGAAGAACCGTTTATTAAGTACAGCAAGTGAAAGTAGCAAGTAAATAAGCAGGTATCTGGTTTTCGTATTTTAAGATTTGTCACACTTAGGTGTGATGAGAGCTGCTTGAAGGCTTCGCAATAATCGATGTGCCAACGCTTATTTTCCGCCACCTGAACCCCCGTTTGCTGTTAGTAAGAGCTTGTCATTACTCTCTCCCTCTCTCTCTTTGCAGAGAGACTCTGGAGGAGTTGTTGGAGCAGGCCGTCATGCACTGCCCCCACGCTGAGATTCTTTGGCTCATGTCTGCAAAGTCAAAGTGGCTTGCGGTAAGTCAAATTGAGGTTTTTCATCCGTTGGGTTGTGAATTGGGGCCTTTTTTGCACTTGGTAGCCTAACATTCTAACAACCTTTTACTACCCATGGATATTGTCGCAATACCTACCAATTCAATTTTGCCCTTGGGGGTAAGCGATTTGATCCGCTCTATTGGCATCGGTTGCTTGTAAAACACCCGCCTGTTTCCGACTTTATTGTGGGCATCTGCTCGTTACTAGCAACTTTACTCGTCCAACGTGGCACACCAACCAAAAGGCTCGCCCGTGTTTCACAATCATCTTTCATAAATAATGTGACACTCGTTAGTGAGTCACCCAATCTCGACAACACTTGAATCACCATTTTGGTTATTTGTACACAATGAGTGATGGTTGCAAGCGTGTTAGTTGAGACTATTTGACAGTGGTCGCCATGCCTTTTTTTAATTGCAGCTCGTTTTGTTTTGAACTTATAGGGGGACGTTCCTGCCGCGCGTTCAACACTCGCCAACGCCTTCCAGGCAAACCCCAACTCCGAGGAGATATGGCTGGCCGCGGTGAAACTGGAGTCGGAGAACTCGGAGTACGCTCGCGCCAGACGCCTCCTTGCCAAGGCCCGGGCCTCTGCTCCGACGGCGCGCGTCTGGATGAAGTCGGCGCGTCTCGAGTGGTGCTTGGGGGAGTTGGCGGCTGCCGAGGAGATGCTATGCGAGGGCTGTACAAAGTACCCACAGGCGCCCAAGCTGCACATGATGAAAGGCCAGCTGGCAGAGCTAATGGCTGAAAATCACCCCGAAGAACGCGATAAATTCATCGGGGATGCACGCAACGCCTATCAAGCGGGCGTAGGTTCTTTCAGATATCTTCCATTTAGATGTTTGTGTTTTTTACCCACACTGCACGATTTTGATGCGCAACTGTGCCGGTGGGGATCGACAGTTGTTATCTTGGAACTCATTTTACGCCATGATGTTGATTTGAATTTTACTAAATCTCGCTACGGTAGCGGCTTCCAGTTCCTTGGCGGAAGTTGCGGTGTTTGCGATCGGACGTTATTGCCTTCGAATGTCGAGTGCGTACAGGAGTCAAGCAATAGGGCGCATTCCACCTCAAAGTAAAACGCATCGATCGATTGTTGATGATGACTCCTTCCTATTTACCGAATTTCATTACTTCTAGCGTTAAACCTACTCATTAAGCGAAAAGAAACAGTAATGTAAGCCATTAAAAAGGCTGCAAATCACACTTAAAGTGGATGAAAGTACTTTAAACTATTTATTACCTTTCGTTTCGGTGTTCATAAGCTGACCAAGCTGGAGGGTGGTTTGAAATCAGCTATCTTTGTATTGCCCTCCGCACAGAACAGCCTTTTGCCAATTTTAGACTAAACAAATTCCCACAAGCGCCGTTTTGTGGACCCTGCTCTCGAGGCTCGAGGAGAAGACCGGAAATATGACTAAGGCCCGCTCCATCCTCGAAAAGGGTCGATCGAAGAACCCCAAGGAACCTAATCTTTGGTGGGTCACCTCCGTTGTACTAGGATTCCTGCGTTTTACTAGCTAAACCGCCTCGCACTCAATGCTAGCCTAATCCACCTAATACTGTCCTGAGGTTGAGATCGTTTTGCAAGCTGTGCATACAGGGGAACAAAAGAGGGCTCGGTAAAAACAGTCCGAAGTTTGGGTGCCACACCGCCGTCCCAGTTTACATTGGGAACCCTCGGTTCTCATACTCATCCACGAGATCCTGCAAATCCCCCATTTACTACCTTGGAAATTAACTGCCTGACAGGTAGTAAGCTGGCAGGAAAGACATCGAAGAACGTTCTTGTCTGACTTTAATTTACTTTACTGTTGTTCAGTATGACTTAGGCACACGATCTTATATACATGAGTACCTGGACGCAATTCTAAGTTTAAGAAACGCCAGGATATTTACTATTTTGCATGCAGATATGCTGATCGCTCTCTATACGGTATGCTTAATACTCCATTGCCATGTGATGTTGCTTTTCAATCTCAGGTTGGAATCAATCCGGTTGGAGATGCGAGCGAATTTGAAGCCCGTTGCCGACTCACTCCTGTCGAAGGCCCTGCAGGAGTGCCCAGACTCTGGCTGTTTATGGGCGGAAGCAATCTTTATGGCGACCCGTCCTCAACGAAAAATGAAGTCCGTTGACGCCCTCAAGAAGTGCGAACACGACCCTGTCGTCCTGTTGGCAGTTTCCAAGTAATTTCTCTCATTTAGACACATAATCAAGTGCCTTCTTAGCTTCATAAAACGGTCAATACCATTTTTGAATAGTGGGCTTTTCCCTGCGTCCTCACGCACACTACCACATTTTCACATTCTAGGATGTTCTGGGCAGAACGACTCATTTCAAAGGCTCGAAGTTGGTTCACGCGAACAGTCAAATTGGAATCTGACTTTGGTGACGCATGGGCATACTTCTACAAGTTTGAACTGCTGCATGGAACTGAAGTGAGTAGCTACCAGAAATATTTGCCGCATTATTATTTTTGCCACTTAAACCGCTCTGTTTCACTGGTTTCGGGTTTGCTCCCTTTAAGTGTAGACACCAGCTTGTGTGATGGTTTTTGTAAAATTTTTATCACCGTTGGCGAATCATATGAGAGCAGTGTATTAAATTTAAATCAACCATAAGTCGGCAAATTGAGAAATTGGAAAGTGCGCTTGGTTTGACCCACTACTATCTTTCTACGCAATTATTGAATGCATCTAGGACCTTCTAACTCATTTCAGGATCAACAGAAGGATGTTCTTAGGCGTTGCGTCGCAGCGGAGCCACGTCATGGGGAAGCTTGGTGTCGAATTAGCAAGGACTTTCGGAATTGGCGGTTGCGGACTGTCGATCTCCTGCCTCTGGTTGCCGAGTCCCTACCGCTTCCCGTGTGAACGTGCAACACAGTATTGCATCCTGCCTTTCTTCTTTTCGAAAATGTCCCATTCATCGAACGCCTTTTTTCTGTTGGTTAGCGTTCGCCGCGTGTATAAAACAAGGGCATTTATATCCACGCCTCTACTTTTGGTTTTCCAAGTTCTTGGCATCATGAACGGAGTATTTGCCAAGTGTCTGTCACCTAGTTTGCATAATTACTGCTAACGAGAATGACTAATCATTGGAATTTGCGTGAACGGAACACGAAAACGTCCTTAGTATTATTCAAGGCTATACTACTATGTGGTAGGAACACGGGTGCATACAGAAGCCAGCCTGGCGCCACGTTATGTTGATCCACAGCGGTCAGCATGCACTGTTATGATTGGTTTTTCTCGAAAACACCTTTTGCATGTCCTATTTTCATTGATGCAGCGGCCGCTCACTTAGTGCCATAGGAGAAGACGCCATAACGCAGCCGTGACTATATCTAACGTTCCCACCCGACGCCTCGTGACTGCGCTCTAGTATACAAGACCTGATCTTTTATACTGAATTTAGACCTTTGAGTCTTTTTCGAAAAAAAATAGTCGAGGTGTGTATTAGTGTGTTCAAAAGTTGGCCATCACTGGACTGTTTGTTTTCTGCGTCTCACCAAGCACACAAACGCGCATTAATGAAATCCCCCTACTGTATTAATGTCCAACAAGTTTGATCAGGTGATAAACGACGTTTTTTTTTCAAAAGATCACCTCATAGGCTCGCACACATGTTTGCTCTTTGGGGACTTCGTTAAATAGTAACTTGGGAATAAGTTTGAAATCAGGCCACCAAGGCTGTTGGCAAGTTAGTCATTGTTCTTTATGGAAAAAATGCATAGGAGGTTCAACATGGCGTTGGACTCCTATTAATTCGAGAGTGAGGAAGGGGGCTACCAGCCTGGGGCACTGGTTGCCGTGAGCCGATCCATCGAATTCGCATCCAGTCTCCGCTTGCCATTTGAACGCTGTTATCCACGGCAGTCCAAATCACCATTTTGCGCATCATACGACAGGAAACGTCTGCATACTGAAGGGTCCCACCAATGGTCAAATTTTGTGGACGTAATTGGAACAATAAATGTACGATTCTGGTTTTATTCAGCTGACCTAGTGCCAGTAGCATTGAAGACACGGGGATCGATTGTCCTACCTAGCAGACGCTTGCTCTGATTAAACCAACATGCACCACAGATTTTTCATTTTTGACATGAAAGCGCATGTGGCAGGATTAATTTTGATTGTATAAGTCCTGTATTAGCACAACGTCCCGCCCCTTAATTAAGAAACTTTGAAAGTATCTCCGTGTGCGTCGTTTCGACGCGCTGCGTATTTCGGTAAAACACTGTCTACCAAATAGTGTCAAATAAAAGCAGAAATATTTACTATTATTTTTGATTTACTGTAATACTGAAAACAAACATTACTAATACATGAAGCAATCCTAAAAGTTACTGATGCAGCCGTCATGTGCAGAAGGTAGCCGCCATCGTGTGCTGCACCGCCATCATCTTCGCTGTACGTCATCCAACAAAAAGGCTAGCAAGTCGGATTTGAGTGCTAACAGTTCTCTTGGTGTTCCAAGTTCGGTCCCGGTGTCGCGTCGGCCCTGCCATCCAGAATGGATCAAGGTTATGATGTTTAGCAGGACTGTTAACAACGTGCCCTTTTAGTCTGATAAGTCTGTGTTGTGAGTAAATAACGCGGAGTTATGGGGTTAGAAGACGTCCTCCAATTTCGCGCATGAAGCAGACGAACGTGTTTATCTGAAGAGTGACATCCATGATTCCACCTTGTCTTTTATTGGCTCCCGGAAACATGTAGTATATAAATACACGCGAAAATGACACGGCCAAGTGACTGTGTCCGCCTGGCCGCTCATCATTGCTGATTTTCGGTTCTATGGGTGTTAACGAACAACAGGATTGTAAGAATAACCGCTTCCCCGGTTACCAGTGCGATTTCTCGGACTTATATCGTATTTTTGCTTAAAACCTTGAATAATTTAAATGTTCTTTAAAACATTCAGCTGACCATGTGTATACTTTCCAGAATTGGTTGGATATATTCATACATCACAGTCGATTAAATAAGTGTTGTTCTTGGTGAGTGAGATGATACAGCACACAATAGGTTTGCTTGAAAGCCAAGCGTTACCGACGAAAATGCGCGGTATCACATATTTTCGAAAAAGCTTGCGTGGACAGGAAGAAGCACCACGCATCACAACGCCACCCATTGGCGTGTTCACAATCGTCGACTTTTCACAAGATAACGCCCAGGAAACTCGTCGAAACATGATAATCCTAATGGCAACGGCACGCCCTCACTAAGAGACGGTCTTTTTTAATACCCCGGCTTAAACAGCGACCGTCTGAAGACATGTCAATCTTTTCCGCAGTATTTTGTATATCGGATGGCACACTCGACGTTGTCACGTGTCAAAACATGATTTCATCCTCACCTCTGATGTCCTCTTTAACGAAACTTACAACGGATCCAGAAATAGTTTGGGGTTATCAACCAGGACCAGGTCAGCAAAAAGAAACCTGCTTACTAACATGATAGCCATAAGGAGGTTAGTTGCGTAATATTCAACAACAATAATTGTTTGAGTGAGACAGCTATCCAAGTTTGTCACCAATTACTGCGCTAAACACGTAGGAACCGGGTTAGTCTCAAAGTGATCTAGTAGTAGATGGAAGTACAGACTGCTAGGCAACAGTGAACAGTGAATTTTAGATTCCTTACTAATAGATGATCCCGGCCGTCAAGAGAGTGATCCGTAAGGCAGCCAATAGCATCGAGTTGCCTCCCGATCATGGAAATGAGAATTAATTCGTTGCAAACACACACACATCTTGGACAAAAGCAGAACAAAGAAGAGTGAGGAGCGATGAGATCAAATCAAAATCGATGGGGTAACTGGTAATCAATCTTGAAAGCGAGTGACAGCTTAGAAACTAAACAATTTTGTTCAGCTTCCCGGATTTCATCCCTACGTTACTGAATATATAGGATAGCCAGGAAGTGTGAAACAGCAGGCCAATACAGTTTGAGAGAGATCACTGAGGCACAAGATACTTTCGTTAATGTTAAGCCCAAGCACAAAAAAGTGACAAAATTAGACCCATTAGGTGGCAGCCCGTGTTTGCTGGACTGGCTGAGCCGGTAAAAGCAACGCTATCCAACAGTGGATAGATGCAATTGAGGAGCGCACGAGTGAGCACAAAACGAAACGATTTGATTTCAACCAGTTTCCAAAACAATTGATTTGCGTGGGTTTGCGTGTATAAACTCACCTTTGGGGCCCTGAGATTGGTGGAGCTGCGAGTGGAATCGAGTGGCCAATGTCGATTATCCATGCTGGGGGACTTCTGTCGCGCCAGTATAACGGCCAGTGGGCCGCCATTAAAATTCACCTGTCTTCAGTGTTTTTTTCTTGATAAATTAGTGGGTAACTGATAAGATTGAAGCCTTCCATGGGCAAAATAGGTGCTGACGACACCAAAAGGCCAATGGCTCAAGGGTTCATTAGGAATGCGACCGAAGCCAACGTACTAAGAGGATAGAGCGCAAGGATGAAGGCTGAATAACTAATTGCAAAGGCATAGACGAAGGCTCTCCGCTGGTAATTAACACCAAGAGGTTGGCATTCAACGTCTCCGCTTTCAATCTGTTTGTTTGCGCATGTGAAAGATTTAACAGCAGCCACTCAAAAGCAGCAGGATGCTGTAACACAGTTTCAGGAAAAGCGTAAGCTAAAGAGTCTGGGTTTAGTCCGATCTACTATTTTTCTCGTCAGCGCAATATTTTGGGGCGAATTCAACAGAAAATCACTTCAAAATGATCACAAAAAGACAAAAAGCCAATTTCACGGATTTATCCGAAAACAAGCGGTAGATTTAGTATAGTACATCACTACAAAATGCCGAGGTAAAGCACAAGTTTTTAAGACACACCTACAAGGACCCATACGAGGTTACAGGGTGATTAATGCCATCTCGCTCCTCATCGTTGCTGACTTGTGCCGACCCAGAAACTCCGAAACTGGGGTAGCCATCGTCGTAACGGCTGTCACAGTTGGCATCACTATCAACCTCACTTATCAGAGGGCGAGTAGCGTCAGAGCAGCTAACACGGACTGCCGCATGGTATTGGTAACAGAAATAGGCCACACTGCCTAAGAATACCAACAGCGGTAGTATTAGCGGAGCGAAGAGACGAGGAAGGATGGAGGTACGGACGAACTGGGGGTTTCCCAGGGCCATTACAAAAGTCCTGTTAAAAATAGAAGTCGGCCAGTGCCATAATTGGTAGACAGATACTACGATAGGTGAATCACAGACTTAACGCATTAATAGCAGCTAACCACATTTGAAACAGTATCAGGCGAAATCTACCACCATGGAGGGAGGGTCAGTCCATAAGTGAACGGGGCTTCGGCCTAGAACTCTTATCAAGAAGAGGGGGCAGGCCTTGCGCCCACACGATCTCTACCTGGAGTACACTTTCGTGCAAGATTAATCGTGAATTTGCTGGGGTCACCTCGACCGCCAAAATGGTTGGCAAGGTCAGAACAAAAGTATTGACTAGGAGGGAGTCGAAGCCAGCCAAATCAGCCTAAACAAGGCATAAAATGATTACCTATCAGCAATTGAATCAAACATGGCCAATTATCACTCCGTCTATTGAAGCTATAATGTATACGATTTATGAGAGATAAATGGCTTATTTGAAACAAACGTACAAGAAGTCTTTAACCAATTAATTTGTACCATTCTGCTTGCACAGTAATGTTTAGCTGAACTGAACGAAGAGCCTTACACGACCTTAAGGTTGGTACGTACGATAAGGGAAAAATTGAAGCAAACAAAAGCATGCTTAGCTTGGCACTTACCATTCGGTGTAATTGGTTTTCGCGTAGAAACCATCACCCGGGCTGCCAAAACCAAACCACTCTTCCATTACACCAACGGTTTTATTGCTTTGAACGTGAATATTAAACCGCTTAAACCCAAAGACGGCTTGTGGTAAAGAACGGTTGATGTGCGCAGTGTCCTTGTGATGCCTAGATACGGTGCTCTGAAAAGCAGATACCCGGCGTCCCGCTTTCCAAAGATCTTCCCTCTCTACAAAGCAGACATCCCTCCAAAAGAGATAGGCGGGAGGCATATCTGTCTTATCCCCCGGGAGTGGCACGTCGCGCTTATTCAGAGAGACGGCAGTCGCCTAAAACAGATTCGAGTGGAAAGCGTTTCGGCATCAACTAGACCTAGCTTCCGACTGTAGCTTACCGATTAATTAAACCCAACCTGCACGGCCAAGCGTATTGAAGCGGTGGGGACTGGTTGTGAGCAAACACCTGCGAATTCAAGTTAGTTTGGCCCATTAATTAATTCTTAAGTTTTTTTTCAGATTACAGGTTGGCCGCAGACCTCACGAAGACCTTAGACAACATGCTTTGGAATGGGGTACGGTTTCTGGAGAAAGGCTGTGGCGCTAAGGTAGCTTGATGGTGTTAATGAATGATGCCTTTTGATAGACAATTAGTCTTAAGGGTGCCTCACGGGGCAATGAATGGGATATTTTAAACACACCGAATTTCTCTTAATGGGTGATAGAGATCCCACCGGATCCTAGCGACGCTTTGGTGGACCGAAATAAATATGCACTATAACGACATCAACTGTTAACGGTTCTGCTGGTGTCCATTGAGATCTACAGACAAACATTTGAACAGAAGTTGAAGGGCACACGTTGTATTGCCTAAAGATCCAATGGCGTTGGCTGAGGCAACCCAGCCCTTTAGGATCAGAGGTATCGCATGAAGTGAAGACGCAGAATACTTACCAAGAAGTTCCCCGGCTCAGCTTCGATGCTTAAGTCAAGCCAATCCTCCTGAAGGAACTTTTGATCCGGGTGAATACTCTCGTTGGTGAAAATAAGAACACCGAGGCCAAGACGAGCCCTGGGCTTCTGAAAATTCTCTGAAAACATCATTTTAACGGTGAAGCCACGACCACCAAGAACGGAAAGAGCGCCATTGATATTCTCAGTGGTTATTGTAAACTAAACATTAAAAAAAGTTCCAATCAGATTAAGAGTTGGCTATGATTATCATAGGATTTAACCTACAGTGAATTCTAACATCACTTGCAGGCCAGATGAGCAACTACGAGAATTTTCAAGCTCAGAATTTCATATGGCAAATTGCATGCTGTTTTCAAATAGTACACGCAACTTTAGAAAAATGAACGTCCTCATACAAAAAGTTGCATTTTTGAATAATTAATAAAGGAAAGTGGCAATAACAAACTTGCTTAAATACAAAAAAATGGTTCCGGGAAAGTCCGAAAGTCAAAAATTAATGTACAAAGTACATGAAGTGACAACTGAAGCATTAGCGTTTGCTCTGCAGCGAAATGTGCCTGCAAGTGCGCTGACGAAGCTTTTCGTTCAGATACTTAGTACACTCACTAAAGGCATTACATTCTGAGATGGTATGCGCCATCCTTGCACAGCAAAAATAAAATTGACAGCTTCTAAAATGCAGCCACTTACAGTGAACTTTACTCCATGATGCTCTCCAGGTTTTGGAGGGTCCCAATGGGAGGACGTGAAGGTCAGAATGACTTTATCGGGTGTTTCGACACGATCTTCTTCGCTCAAGCTCCACATTAATTTTTCGCCCGAATTTTTGCATTCTGCTTCCTTGTAGTTTTCAAAAGTCGCAGTATCTGTCCTATCATCGTATTCGCAAACCTACATCCAGATGAAATGACAAATGTAACAACCTTTCAAGATACAACTGGAAAGTGCCCTGACCCGGATAACCGTGAAACCATGTTTCAGGCTGTGGAGGCGGTTAGTAAGCAGAATCACGTTCACGGGATGAATCCATGGCTGCACTACGTCAATAGTGGTAACCATTGGTGGAATATTTGAGACACCGGCCTGGTTGACGCCTGAATAGTTCTACACACTATGGCGTGGTTGCATGAAAGAGTATAAACTCAGCCATTTTATGTTTTTTGGCATCCATAAAATCCTAGTACAAGGATGGTGAAAATCAAGCCGATACAACGAGATATTAACCAAATAGGTATGATGTGTAACTGTGTATGCTTGTGGGCATCTTAACATTTTTAAGTAGATAGGATTAGCTGTGTGCGTGAGTAGACTGATGAGAGATATAAGTGAAGATGCCAAGTCTCTTCAAATAAATTACTTCGTACACTCTTAACTGATAAACGTTTACTGTTGATCCGCCATTTATTTTAAAGAACTGTGGTTCTAGCTCGTCACACGAGAATGATTACTTCTTTACAAATAACATGAATAATTTATTGCCACATGAGTGCTTTGCTAAGTCGACATTCTTGACATGGACCTCGCAAAGTTTAAGTGAGTGTGCTGCACTCCTCTGAGTTGGCAATTACACCCAGATAGGATGAACAGCGGAAATTGAGGAAGTACCAAATTACTTGTCTTTCTTTGACAGAACGGGGAAGCGGAAGAGCAGCTTTCAAAGTCCTCAGCGGGTGAATTGCTTAATTCGACTTTTAACGCAATAGTTACTGTGTGCATTTACATATTTGTGCAGCGTTAATGTGCATCAATGTTAGACGAAGCACCTGGATTCTAATTCAAGGGGACGAACAACAACCAGCAGTGATGTCAGCAGCTCTATGCGAGCGGAACCACCAATTATTTGAAACATATTTTAGATCGATCTTTATTAAGGGAGCTCAATCTTACAAACGATCATCAGCGCACAAATTTAAAATCAATTGAACAAGCATAAAATTGCCTAAATCAGTCAATCGTTCTGTTCTTTACGCGGTATCCAAAATAGTTATCACAGAACAAAATTTATGAAAAGCGGTTTCCCTAAAGTAAATCTCAAGTACTTCAAAAAGGATGTAGCATTAAATATTAAATTAAATAGTAGTTCTGAAAATCATTTTTTTTGTAAAAAAACAATTGTCAATAAATGACAGAAACCCAAATGTAAAGTCCAAAAAAGGCGATTTTCAGTCAAAAAATCAACATTACATACTGAAATTTAGTGATAGGGATTTCATTTTCCGCTATCTTCAAAATATTAACGCCACAGACACTTATTTAGGTTAACCGTTTGTTTTCTGTCAGAAGCACTACTCCACTACTCATTTGACGTAAATGTGAAGAACCAACAAGTTTCTTCGTTTGCATTTGACAACAGAGGAACGTTGAACAATACATAATTGTGAAATGGAAGTGGAATACCGCGGAATACAGAATTCGCAGAAATATAACTAATGTTGACATTTAAAAACCGACTTCCTGAGAGATAACCCATCGCAATCAATTAGGTCTTTTGGACGCTATTCAACTCAACGGGAATACTACGGAATATAACCTTCTCATTTGTTGCGTCAAATAGTATCCTGAGCTTCAATAATAAAATCACATTGCTTTTTAAGTCACAGTTGAGTTGGTGGACTCTTGCTCGTGTGCATTACACGATATCGCAAATCCTGCAAATGACTTAAAATGGTGACAATGACGAAGCAGCATAGCTAAACCAATTAGTGCTTTCGAATGTAAGGGGTTACTAACCTGACAAGTATTAAATCAATGTTTGTGTCAAAGTTTGAGAGATGGTAGTTATAGCCATGTCGATACGAGAAAACAGAAGACTGAAGTGAATTACCAATGAAATCCAGTGAAACGACGACAATTAGGCAAAACAATAACACAAAAATATGGCATGGGTCATTTAAAAGAGGACGAAAATAAACAATGGTTAGAGTAAAAGGGAACACAAACTGTCTTACATTAAAAATCGAAAACCCATGTGACTCCGTGATTGCATGGCTTACGATTGAATCACTGATGTTTTTACCGAAAAATACAGTTTCATTAACAGTCACCGTGGAATCAAGACCACCACGCAGTATTATTGCGCCGAGGGGTGATGGTGGGGTGGACGATCCGATTACGTAATAGATACGTTCTGTGGGTGATTCAAGGGTTACGAGAGCCAAATAAAACGAATTATCATGGTTATACCTAAAGCAATGAAGCTAAAACAAAAATTAAAAAAAAACAATTCACACCTTTGATGAGTTACCACTGACAAAAGAGCATAACACGAAAAAAATAAGAAAACTTAAGACCGACATAATTCTTCTAGCGTGAAGTGTGGTGTTATGTAGTGTTGTGGTGTAGTGTAGTGTGGTGTGATGTGGTGTGGCGTCGGAGCATGGCGCAGACATATTGAACCACCTGGCCGCAGCCAATCCTGTGTCTCTCTGTGTTCCAATGGCATGCGAGGAAGGTAAGCAGCCAACCAGAGAAGAACACGACTGAGGTGCAGCATATAATGAGCGGCGTGGCCAGCGTGGGGACTCGGATGAAAGGCGTCTGACGCGTGGCTCTGGCTTCTGATTGGTCAATAGAGCCTGTTCTGCTGCACCAGTCTTTTACCTATTAGGGCTCGGGTATTCTACACTGGTGGCAGCGGATGCGTTCGAATAACGCAAATCGAACCCCA